TGTACTCCAGTCTTGCCTTTGTACACCAGCCTTGTCTTTGTACTCCAGTCTTGTCTTTTTTACTCCAGTCTTGTCTTTGTACTCCAGTCTTGTCTTTGTACTCCAGTCTTGTCTTTGTACTCCAGTCTTGTCTTTAAGTACTCCAGTCTTGTCTTTTGTACTCCAGTTGTGTCTTTTGTACTCCAGTCCTTTTGTACTCCAGCCTTGTGTTTTGTACTCCAGCCTTGTCTTTATACTCCAGCCTTGTCTTTGTACTCCAGTCATGTCCTTTGTACTCCAGTCTTGTCTTTGTACTCCAGTCCTATCTTTTGTACTCCAGCCTTGACCATGTCTTTCGTAGCACTTACAGAATTGAGCTCAATTCCAATTTTCTGTTATAATAAGAAACTTTCATTAGAAATTATGGAATAAGTTTTATTCTTTCGTAAAACCTGCATGAAGGTATACAAACAAGCATTATTTGATTATTATATAAAAAGTATGCTATTGTATACATTCCTTCCAGGAATTTTGATTCTTTCATGTGAGTAAGCTAGCTTACAGAAGATGTTGGTTCTACTCCTAGGTTTCTTATGCAAAGAGGGCCACCTTTGGTACATACACCACTAGTAAAGCTGGACTGTGGCCATATGAAATAAAGAATATTTTACGAAATAAGCCGTGTCACGACAAAACCAACATAATGGGTTTGCGACCAGCATGGATCAAGACCAGCCTGCGCATCTGCGCAGTCTTATCAGGATCCATGCTGTTCGCTTACCAACTCTATTACAAGTCGAGAAACTGATAGCGAACAGCATGGATCTTGATCAGACTGCGTGGATGCACAGGCTGGTCTGGATCCATGCTGGTCGCAAACCCACTATGTTGGTTTTGTCGTGTACACGGCTCAAATAATCTTTTTTAATTATTTTTCTCTCTTGATAACTGGTCTGATGTGAAAAAACAATTTTATTTTGCAACTTGGTAAAGAGTGTTAAAACAGACACAACATTTTGTCTGTAACTTGTCTACTTTCCCATGTCTGGTATTACCTGTATAATTTTTTACTGGTGTTTAACACCATATTCTAGTCCCAATTTGTTATATTTATAACCATCTGCCTATATCAACAGGTGCAAAGTCATAAAAAACAGTTTATAGAGAATTGCCTCTTGTTTTCTAATTACAACATCTTTATTTATATTAGAAAATAAACCCAAGCAAATCCCCATGCCTCTGAATGTATTAATTTTATTTTCATATGAAAGGTAGCTAGCTTAGATAAGTAGGGTAGATAGATTGGTAAATAGTTTTTGTTTGCCATTAGTCAGTTTCAACATTTGTCCCAGCAGTTAATAATTTCATTAATTTTTAGCTTGGCTTTTTTTTTCAAACTGATTGTTACATTAATGGCGGCGTTGCCGTTGCCATCTGCGACATCATAACTTATTAAGGTATTGGTGCATTGTCTTCATACTTGGCCACATTGGGGTAGACCAGACTTAAGTTGACCTTCTTCATAAATGACCTTGACCTTTGAAGTCAGATGTCTAAATTGTTCATGACTTTTGCTGATTTTAGCTACAACTTGGTTATTTTTAAATGGATCATCTTCAAATTTGATCACAACAATAAACAAAATTCAAAAGACCCCCCCCACCCCCCCCCCACCCCCCAAAAAGAAGAAAATTATTACATGCTTTAACCCCAATCTGGCTAAGAAGCACATTTAATATTGATTTTAAATTTGATTCTGAGTGTATTTCATTATTATCTTTATCATAATTTTCTTATTTGTAATTTTCATAGATTTTAAGTGCTGTTTGCAATGTTTAAATTACTGTCTTTGTTCACCTTTTAAATACATTTTTAATTTTTTTTTAATGAAAATTGATATGATTCTGGAGGCATGCTTCTTTGATTTATAAATTATGACAAAGTTACAAGCAACGATCATGTAGTTTATATACTTCAGTAGATTTTATTATTTATTTCTTTAATTTTATTTATTTAGATTTATACGCGGAAAGTCCGAGCGGGGCCGAAGGCCCCGCGATGGCTGTAGCGCTCTTAGATAACATGTATGACGCGTATCAATTCAAACGAAATCAAATTAAAAGCAAATGAAAATTTCAAAAAAATATATCCTATACCTAATGAGCTGTGAAAAAAACCTTAGTTAACTGGGCGCCGCCATTTTGAAATCCTTTTGAGCTAAATATAGATATTAGAGCGCTTTTAATGAGCGTCTACATAATTTAGACCATTGCTAGCGTCTGCTAAATAACACTTCCGGTGGGAGAATGATGTGCAAAATCAGAAAGTAAACATGCATTTAATTGATTAGAACTATAGTAACGGTTATAAATATAAAAAGTTACTTAACATATCCTTTTTGATAAATTAGCACATTAAAAATAACGTTAAAACAACAACTGTGATTAGAGATTAACATAAAATGGCGGACAGGATTTTCCAAACGCCGACGCGTGCGCAGTGGTCCCCCTTTACGTTTGGAGATTTTCGGAATATTCCGAGCATTCCGACGATAGGTTGAACACCACCAATTTATTTGTTTTGTTTACAGTACAAAATACCTGCAAGAAAGATCTGGTTTACATGTACAATAAACATGTTATGCTCAAACCATAGTTCATAAGAACTTTCCGCGCCATAGGTAGCACCTAATTTCATATTATTAGTTCAAAACAATGATTACAATTTTGACAATTGTTTTAAAATTGTCCACAATTCATTGTTTTGTTTTGTCTTTCAGGAAATTGTGATTAAAAGTGTTTAAAATAAAATATAGTGTGACCATATAGCGTGACCTCTTGTTAATGTCATTAACCAGTAAGTCAAAATTTGGATACAGGTGGGTCTTTTTTCATCCATCGGTAAAAAGTTACATAAAGCAATTAGTTATAAGTGTCTGAAATATAGCAAATTAATGTCATAAGATCAACTTTATTGTTAGATTTGCTTTTTTTATTTGCAAAAAACAAAACAAAAACAAAACAACAATGAAAAAACAACATTTGTTAAGGACAGCCGTTCTACTCGCATTTCAGCTTATATTAAAAACAAAAGGTTATGTTCTATTCAATTTTATTTTCAAGTCAATGTTACAAAATTACCCCAAAGAGAATTTTAAAATAAAAGAATAATAAAAAATAAAGAACTGGTAATGCTACTTATTTGTCTATTGTATTACTTGAGATAACATTTATTATGAATTTGTTTGATAACTGTGACACATTAAGTACTTTAAAATTAAGTCAAAGAAACCAAATTACCCTCAAGAGAATAAAATAACATTTCTTTTCTTTGATTTACATGATACTTGTGTCATCAATCATCTGACACACTGACACAGTCTAAGCATCAAAGAATCTGATTCCAGTCTAGACAAGGCATGTAGGGAGAAACTGTGACTTCCTGTTATAAATTATATCTCCCACAAGTCTGAAATCTGACCCGAATTTGATCTCTCACAGGTTGTTTTCACAGGCATTCAAGGAACACTTGCCCTGAATTACTCCTAAATTATATAATCTAACTCACACCTTGGCATTAAAGTAGTTCCTGGGGAGTCTGGTGAAAGGTTAAAATCATGTGAAATGTCTTAAATTCCCAGGTTTTCCATTTTTCACAGTTCTCTCTCATTTTCAAAGGATGAATAAGATATTAGATACTATGAGATCAAACAATGTGAAGACATTATGTGATTTTAGAGGTATTAAATACCAGCACCTCTGTTCAATACACTGCTGAATTTATTTAATGGAATTTACCATCTTTGAATTGGAAACAGTCTATTCAAAGTTAAAGATCATGTATGTTGTAATTGAGGTTGTATACCACACTTAAATGAAATGATATATATGTATATAATTATGCTTATAAAACAATTTTCAAACATCGAATAATATGTAAAATATGTACTGAAAATATTTGTACATTTTATATGTAATCATAAAAATATATTCACTCATTTCTTATTTAAACATTTGACTTAGACTTTATAGAAAATAAATTTTTTATTACCTCCCTTTATTTACATGAAATGTTAAATTTGGTAATATCTTTATAAATAATGCTTTTTGGATCTTACAAAATTGATAAATCTTAATTTGAGCATCATATTTATGACATAAAACCATGACAAATTTCTGTTACAGGATCTTTAAGGGATTTCAATATCAAGATACAGAATATGAGATACATATTACAGTATAGTCACCTTAGTGCAATAACTGGTTAACTCCTATTAAATTTAGAAGGACCTAGCCCCTTATTGCACGAAGGTGATGGTATAGAAAATTAGAAAGGACCTAGCCCCCTTATTGCATAGAGCCTGGTCAGACTGTATGGATGTGCAGTCTTTACTTGTGGCAAACCTTAAATTATATGTTTTGTTCAAGCAGGTTAAGTGTTTATACTTTTTGAAATTAAATAAACTTTTTTTTCAGGACTCATATCTATTTTTTCAATCTCTCAATAAAATAATATTATAATTCTTGAATTATTTAATTACTGCAGCCTTTGTTAAAAAATAAAAATAATTATTTATTTTTTTTAAATCAACTATAAATTTTTTTGCCAATATTAAACCCTTGCCCTGAAGCTTTGGGTTTGATTTCTGTGAGTTATTTGATTTGTTTTGTCTTCCCATCCACAAAAAAGAATTCCCATCCATGTCCATAAAAAAAAGGAACTGGCATCCGCACTCTTCTCAACTCTATCAAAAGATAGAAAACACTCCTCCTAAATCTTAAGGGTTTTATCTGCTAGTATTACTAGTATACAATGCAGTGACTTACCTGCTACATGTACATGTTATTTGACAAAAGACATTAATAATAACTTCTATTTAGTGTTTGCAAACCTTTCGTATGGTGTTTTTAAAATTATGTTGAAAGCTCAACTACTTTTTCAGACTTCACAGACATCGACTAGTTTGCATTTACTTTGCCAAGTAAAGATTTTTAATATTTTTTTTTTGCTTTCATTTTCAGGATGTCAAAAGGGCTGCATCTCAAATTCAAGCCAAACAAGCAAAATTTCCAAAATTACAAGGTAACAAGATTTGATTTATGGTATAAGGGAGACTACTAAGTATGCAACCATTAATTTCTAGTACTGGAAGAGTTGTCTTTCTTGCAACATCTTAATTTATTAACACAGAAATACCTTCATGTGTCCTGTTGCATTTTAAATATTTAGTATGTCCACAGTGTAAAAATATAAATGATTTGTGGTTATTTTTCCTTATTCAGAACCAAGGAAAATCAGTGGAGAAATAGAACAAACAGAAGAAGCACCTGTAGAAACTTCAAAAGAGGAGTTGAACTGTGATAAAAATGTAAAGTAAGTTTAAATATTTTTTCTTTATTTCACCTCTATTATATTTAAGAAAGGTTTTTTTATATAACTTGTTCAATAGTCTGAGTTAATAACTAACAAAAAATTTATAAAATGAAAATTGTAACAGTCGATGCATAGCAATATATTAAAAATGTTAAAAAACATGCTTCTTTAATAATTGAGCCGCGCCATGACAAAACCAACATAGTGCATTTGCGACCAGCATGGATCCAGACCAGCCTGCTAGGCAATCTGATCAGGATCCATGCTGTTCGCTTACAAACCCTAAAATAAGTAGAGAAACTGATAGCGAAAAGCATGGATCCTGATCAGACTGCGCGGATGCGCAGGCTGATCTGGATCCATGCTGATCGCAAACGCACTATGTTGGTTTTGTCGTGACGCGGCTTATATCTTCTTTGAAGAGGAGCAGCAGCAGCATCATCACTATCATTAGATGATGATAAACTTGATGTGAGTGATGATGAATATGTAACATATCCCTCGAAAGATGCATTTACTGATGTGAGCTCTGAAGAACTTTATAAAACACTACAAGAAATTGATCCGGAATTAGCCCTCAGGTTGCATCCACGTGATCGAAGGAAAATAATAAGGTAATATATTATTGTCTATTTTGCTGTTTATACATTTTATTAACCATCTTTAATGAAATCAGTAGAGGGAATTTTTCTGCAGGGACGGCAAAATCAATTGTCCATGTTGCCCAGGTTGTCCCACAGTTTATATGGACAAGTGAAAATTTTCCAGAATTTACGTTATAAATTTCAGTGGGACAAGTAAATATAAAAATATGCTTCAGATGAAACAGACAGGTAAGTCAGTCAGATTTTGCCAACCATGGATATTGGAATAATGTGAGTCTCTAGAATCAAGGAGCCTAGAGCCTTTGGTACATGTACTTTGTAAAATGCATATTTCAAATAAAATTAAATCATCAATAATACAAATAGTGGTCAATTAGATTTTTATAGATCTTGCCATAAGTGTTTTCCTTGACAAGGACATGGTTCTCATAAAAGTCTCTCAAGTCACAATTTATTGTGCTTTTTATGTATCATTTTTCACAGACTTTATTTTTGGACTAACTTTATTTATGTATAGATTTTATTTGTTGTACAGAGCAATAATGGTATATAAACTACATGGAGTACGGATGTCGGAGGTGCGTAAAGCTCAGCGGGAAGAGTTATCAGGGCCATCCGTCAGTGGACCATTACGTTACAGAGACTGCTGTATATTCTGGCTACAATGTAACCAAGATGGTTAGTTTTGTCACTTGTTTCAGTCAAGTTCTATTTCAACAAGCTTTTGTGTATCATATACTCATTGTCCAAAAATAAATGATAATATAGATATAGTTTATGACCTATGTTACTTTAAAATTTCCCAAAAATGTTACTATTTTCATTTTTCAAACACTTTTAGCTCAAATACTCGATGAATAGGGAAAGCTATTGTACTTGTCGAGGTGTAGCCTTTGCCGCCTTTCTTTGGATAAGTTTTGGTGCAAGTTGGTATCTCTAAAATTAGTAGCGTCCGTGGCTGAGTGGTTAAGGTTGTTGTCTTAAAACCACTTGCCCCACACAGTGACACTGCTGTGGGTTTGAATCCTGACAGGGACTTTTGATTCTTTCATGTGAGGAAGCTATCAAGCTAGCTTATGGAATGTCAGTGGATCCTATCAGGTGCCCATTTGGGCCTGAAATAATGCACGGAAGGGCACCTGGGGTCTTCCTCCACCAGTAAAGCTGGAATGTAGTCATATGACCCATACTGTAGGTGTGACATAAAATGAATCAAAACTAACAACCTCAAAAACTACTAGAGGGAAAGGGTTGAAACTTCACACACTTATTTGAGAGCACAATAGGAGGTCACTGTCCAATGTCCATAACTCTTGTTTTACTATCAAGCTCTGAGAAAAGCACGCTGTCCTGCTGACAGCTCTTGTTATTTTATGGTGTCATGTTACAATATAAAAAAAGGTACTTGTTTGGCATATAGCTGAACTATCTTTTATAACAGAAAGAATTATTCATTGTAACAGTATATGAAACTCTAGCTCTATGGTACTTTTACATTGAAAAAAACTTAAAGATGTAACAACATGTATATGCAGTGACTGGAAAGCTATAATAAAAAAAACATTCTTGGTGTCTGATATTATTATATTAAATTTAATCATTTTGGCATAACTTTGAACAACCTAACAAATTGATGATGGTATTTCATATTTAATATCATACTTATTTGTCTCCTTTTAAGAATAAAAATCTGAAAATGTGAAAGATCAAAATTGTCAAACAGTGCCCCTTCTGGCAATTGAGATATAAATAGACATTAGGGCCATAAAAGTAGTCATGTATCAAGAGTGAAGTGGTTTCCAGATTAGAGTTGTAACTTAAATTATATTGAGAAAAAAATTGGAACTAGACAATTTTGTTGGTTTAGATGGGGGTCAGGTCTAGATGGGTTTCACTGTAATGGTTATGAGTTATTTTACTTTTTTTTCAGTATTAGACAAGCGTTTAGATGATCGTGTAGATAAGATGATCGAGATGGGACTACTTGATGAACTCATTCAATTTCATAAACAATACAATGAAGATAGGCTACAACAGGGAAAGTATGTGTCCTTGAAAAATAGATTTTAATTCAGTTAAGTTTTTATGTAACTTTTATAATTTATGTAACACAGACAATATACATGTATATGATTGAAAATAGTTGCTGAGTAAATATCGAGTGTGGGAAATAAGTTTGTTATCAAGCCCATTATTTACTACTTTTTCTTATGGAAAACATCGGTTATTCGGTACATTTGTAGTTGAATGTCAAATGGGTAGAAAGGCCACTTGTTGTCAACAATTTCTCAAGGGATTTTAACTAAACTCATAGAATGATTGTCATCAAGTGCATTGTTGCAAATTTTGTGACTGATCATTTTTAGCAAAATTATTTACCATTGTAGGTTCTTTTCACATAAAATATTTGTAGAAAACATGGTTTTATGAAAATTCCTTGTCCCTATTTCTGTCTTTGTATGCATAATCATAGTGCAAATTACAAATGTATCTGTAGGGTCAATGTACAATTCAAAAGTCTAATTATTATTTGACAGTTACTAAGATTACACTGCACAATTACATTACACTTATTTTGTGTTATTAAAAAACTGATGTGTTCAATTTCAGAGAAGATGATTACTCTACAGGTATATTCCAGAGTATAGGATTTAAAGAGTTTCATACATACCTAATGTTGTCTGATGCAGACAGACAGACAGATGAGGGACAGAAAGCATTCAAGAAAGGTTTGTCACATGCAAGATGATCACACTATTTTAGTTGTAGAACTTTGTTGATTTAACTTAATGTTATCTTTCACATTCTTTTTGCCACTGTCAATTTTCAACACCCCTGGCAAGTGCCCTTTGACCCCTTTGTACTCTGTGTTGTAATTTTCCTTAATCCACTTTTCTCCTCTGGCAATTTCCCTTCTTTCCATTTTTATGCCCCTAGCAATGTCCATTAGCCCCCTTTTAAGGCCTCTTGCAACTTTATTTTATTCACCCATTTATGTGCCCCAGTCAATGTCACTGCATCTCCATTTCAACCTTCAAGTGAGTTTTGCATCTGTTGTTAAAAAAGCTTTACATTTTACATGGTACAATTTTCTTCCTTGTGTAATATCATAAACGTTCTCTAATAAGCAATTTAAACTTCAAAGTTTTAGGGCATGAAAACTTTATGATGCATATCTAGTTTATGATGAGGTATAGTTATGTTTTTTGTTTATATCATAAATCTCAAACATCTTTTTAACTATAATTTAATTGCAGCAGGTACTCTCAATTTTGAAGATAATTTTGATGGTTATCTTTATGAGTTCTATTCACAGTATCAGTTTATTGAACAAATAAACTGAACTGAAATATTAGAAAATTATAATAAGCATGCATTTTCTATTCAGTTTATATTACTTTATAGGTATAGAAGATTTGAAACTTGCGACAAGACGATATGCACGGTATCAGAGTAGATGGGTGAAAAAAAGACTTCTTAAAAGTAATAATTGTTGTTTTCAATAGAGCTGTTTTTTAGACAATATAGACAGTTTCTATTTAATTACACAAGACACGGTAACAAGTAAGTGTTTGTATCTGTACAACATGAAGAACAGAGTTAACATCATCAGGCTAACTAGAAATTACATTTCAATGTTGTTAATATAATACAAACATTTCTTATGGTTGTCCATGTCACAAAGACATTTTTAAATCTAATAAAATCTATCAAATGCGAAAAAGGAAATAAAAAAATGTCCAGAACATTGTCCTGTCGGGAATCCAGTAAATGAAATTATATATATATAAAAAGTTTGTAAAAAAAAAAGGAATTTTATCTACATCAGACTACTTGCTCTCCTAAAGTTGGAAAGGAGGAGACCAAAAAAAAACAATTTTTAACTCACCGAGCTATAGCTATAGCTCAAGTTGAGTCAATTTGAGCTTTTAAGTTTGATGAATGTCCATGGTCTGTCGTCTGTTCATATTTTTTTCGGAACCAAAACATACAGAATTTATTTTATTCCAGGAGAAACAAGTGGTTCATATACGTTCAAGGTTTAAATCACCATTTTACAGAACATCTCATTCAAAAAACTTGTTTTGTAATTTTAGTCGAGAAGTGGGAATCAAACTTGGGACCCCCTGGATTTGTATTGAAAGAGTGTTTACCAAAATTAGACCACTGCATCTGCTTTAATTAGTACCCTGTTACAATGGATATTGTTTTCAATGTATTCACACATGTTTTACTCAATACACTTCCATCCTCATCCTAGAATAAATGTTGTCATGTTTATTTACATGTATTTGACTTGTGATTTCCATATAAATCTTATAACTATTTTTATTAATTCATTAAAACTTCAAGGGAGGAAATTCTACCAGCAATATTCTTGTACATATATTGTAGGGCAGTGTAGAGAGGAGAGTTTACCAGTGTATGGTTTAGACTGTACCGATGTGTCACTGTGGGATGATAATGTCTCAAAACCAGCAACCACAATACTAACTGCTCTAAAAAAGGTGAAGCTTGAATTAATTTGCTGTGATTCTTTAGTTATTTGCTTGTTTGTTTTAAAGAAACAGTTAAGCTAATATGACTGCTGTATTATTGTTATTGTCATCATGCGGAGACTTTAATGTAGCCCTTTATTAGGTATCAACATAAAACCCATCATGACAAGCTGCAATTGTAAGGCAATAGACATTATCCTGAAAGCAATATTTTTAGGGGTTTTGTCCCCTTAAAATTGGAGATTTACATGTATTTGTAAAAATTGGTTATTGATAGGTGTTGACCATATAACAGATGAGAGTTAACACGGCTTGTGGTGCTCTTGTTGCATGCTATTGATGGGGCTTCTGTGGCTTAACGGTAAAGGTTTCAACTTCAAACCACAAGCTCCTAAAGTTCAAGTCCCGCCTTGGACTTTGCAGGTTTCTTTCTTGCAAGGAAGCTAATCACTTTACTAACAGAATGTCGATGGTTCTTCTTAGATACCTGGTTGTGCCTGAAATAATGTATGGATGCAACTGAGATCTTCCTCCACCAGTAAAGCTGGAAGTGGACATTTTCTGGTTCACTTAAAAACCCAACTGAGCAATAGCTAAATCACATATTTGATATCTTCTCAAACTTACAACAATTATCCTGCTTTCAAATAAAGTAACATTCTTACTGTTATCATTTTATTTTTATTTTTTGTAAAATGAAATAATTTTTAGCTCGACTATTCGAAGAATATGAGAGCTATTGTAGTCGCCCCGGTGTCAACGTCTGCGTCGGCGTCTGCGTTGGTTAAAGTTTTTTGTAAATTCAAATATCTCAATTATTGCTTGAGATATTCAATTGAAACTTACAATACTTATTTATAGTAACAATGTACATCAGATTGACAAGTTGTATAACTCTGCCTACAATATTGACAGAATTATGCCCCTTTTTAACTAAGAAATTTTGGTTAAAGTTTTTTGTAAAGTCAAATATCTCAATTATTGCTTGAGATATTCAATTGAAACTTACAATACTTATTTATAGTAACAATGTAAAATGTACATCAGATTGACAAGTTGGATAACTCTGCCTACAATATTTACAGAATTATGCCCCTTTTTAACTTAGAAATTTTATTTTGGTTAAAGTTTTTTGTAAAGTCAAATATCTCAATTATTGCTTGAGATATTCAATTGAAACTTACAATACTTATTCATAGTAACAATGTTCATCAGATTGTGAAGCCTTAACAAAGTTGTTCAAAGAATTCCATTCCATGCAGAACTCTGGTTGCCATGGCAGCCAAAAGAAAAAACTTTAAATATCTTCTTCTAAAAAACCCAAAGAGCTAGAGCTTAGAGATTTGGCATGAAACATCTTCTAGTGAGTGTCTACCAAGTTTGTTCAAATAAAAGACCTGGGGTCAAAATTGGCCCCGCCCCAGGGGGTCGTTGATTTTCCCTATATGCATATATTTTCCCTATATGCATATAGTAAAAACTTAAAAATTCTTCTTTTAAAGAACCAAAAGAGCTAGAGCTACGAAATTTAGCATGAAACATCTTCTAATGGGTATCTACCAAGTTTGTTCAAATAAAAGACCTGTGGTCAAAATTGGCCCCGCCCCAGGGGGTCATTGATTTTCCCTATATGCATATAGTAAAAACTTAAAAAATCTTCTTTTAAAGAACCCAAAGAGCTAGAGCCAAGATATTTAGCATGAAACATTTTCTAATGGATGTCTACCAAGTTTGTTCAAATAAGAGCCCTGGGGTCAAAATTGGCCCCGCCCCAGGGGACATTGATTTTCCTTATATGTGTATAGCAAAAACTTAAAAATCTTCTTTGAAAAAACCTTAATAGCTAGAGTTTAGATATTTAGCATGAAACATCTTCTAGTAAGTGTCTTCAAAGTTTGTTCAAATAAAAGCCCTAAGGTCAAAATTGGCCCCACCCCGGGGGTCATTGATTTTCCTTATATGTGTATAGCAAAAACTTAAAAATCTTCTTCGAAAAATCCGAATAGCTAGAGTTCAGATATTAAGCATGAAACATTTCTAGTAAGTGTCTACAAAGATTGTTCAAATAAAAGCCCTTGGGTCCAAACTGGCCCTGCCCCAGGTGTGTCATTGTTTTTAACTATATGTGTAAAGAAAAAACTTGACCAGCTAGACCTGAGATGTTTAGCATGAAACATCTTCTAATGGGTGTCTACCAAGTTTGTTCAAATAAAAGCCCTGGGGTTAAAACTGGCCCCGCTACAAGGGCCTATATACAGGTGAGCGACTTCAGGGCCATCATGGCCCTCTTGTTTATAGTAACAATGTACATCAGTTTGCAAAATTGCATAACTCTGCCTGCAATATTTGCAGAATTATTTGCCCCTTTGAAACTTAGAAATTTTGGTTAAAGGTCTTCAAAGATATTTACTTGAAACTTTACACATGTACTTAGGGTCATAATTGTATGTCATTGACCGAGTTCCATAACTCTACTCGCATTTAGGCTGATTCATCTCCCCTTTTCTACTTAGTCTCTTGGTTAATGTTTACATGCAAGTTTTACATATTTCAATAACTATTAAATATGTTTATTTAAAACTTCACATATGCATTTAGAATCATAATTGTAGGTCACTGACCAAGATCCTATCCAATTCTATCTTCCATTTAGGCTGATTTTTTTCCCCTTTTTCAACTTAGAAATTCATGGTAAAGTTTTGCTCGTAAGCTGTTATCTCCATAACTACTGAAGAGTTTGTGCCTTTTTTGGGACATTTTTATGCATTCATAATAATAAAGCAGTGATTTACTTGATAAAACATCTTAATAACAAGCCTTTGTACCTTTTCGGTCAATTTTATGTATTCATAGGTAATTAGCATTATTATTAATAAAACACCCTTGTGACAAATTTTGAATAGTCGAGCCAATACTGTCCTCCAACAGCTCTTGTTTAATGAATGTAATTTTTGTCAGATTTAACAACTTAATTCTGGCTCAAAATAACAATGTATATATTTTGATTATATTTTTATTATTGACAGGGTGAAGTTTCTCCAATACCAGCTCTACCATTTGAAGAGGAGCATGTTACACAGTTCGAGTACAATGAGTGTAAATATTGTAATGTTACAGCTGTGACACAAGATATTTGGCAAAGTATGTTCCATTTTGTGTTAGCCTTATTTTGGATGTGAAACCTAACCCTGCTAAATATCTAAAATGGACTTGTCCGTCTTTCAGTTTGGACAAAAACCATTTGCTTTTAGGGAAAATTTCAAAATGTTTACCAACTGAATAGTGAACAGTGCAAACCAGATCATTGTCTGCACTGGTTGCATTGACAGAATCAATTGTCGCTAGCAGGCTAAGGGTTAAATCTGATATAAGGGTTAAATCTGATCAAGGGAAGTAAATCTGTATCATCTGGAAAATTTGTATATAGTAATAGTGTAAATGGAGGCTATGTCTCTCATTTGATGTCTGCACAGATATATCAGTTTCATTTCTGGAATTCTAGACTACATCTTGTTTTAAGATAAAAAAAAAACAAAAAAACTTTTCAAGTATAAGGGTGGTCCAACTTTTTGATACATTATCGTTAGTTTTTATGTTTCTTTAGACTTCAGTGAAAGTTTTTAAATGACCTTGAAATTATTTATGAAGGTTTAGTTTATCAACAGAAGTGTTTATAATAATGACATGCAGTTTGTGTTATGTATATATTTGTGTTGTTGTTTTTTCAGAGCATACAGGATCAAGAAAACACAAGAATAATGTCAGGAGATATAAACGACAAATGCTTCAGTTGACACAGAATTTAGATGCTCATATTCAACATGGAAAACAGTGAGTAAATTAATATTAATGCAAATCAAGCCAGAACATGTCATGTTATGCCCTTATGTTTGATTAGTTGTGACCCTGTGTTAGATTAGTTGCGTGCAATAAAATAACATCATTTCATAGCTTTTATGAATAAGAAGTTTGTTTTTATCATGACATCATTTCCCTTTTGAGCTCGACTATTCGATAAGAATAAGTAGAGCTATTGCAGTCACCCGAGCGTCGGCGTCGGCGTAACCACTTATGTTAAAGTTTTTGTAATAGTTCAAATATTTTCAAAGTCCATAGACATATGGCTTTGAAACTTTGCACACTTGTTCACCATCATGACCCCAACCTGTAGACAGGTGGAGGTAACTCTATCAAGCATTTTGACAGAATTATGCCCCTTTTTCGACTTAGAATTTACGTTAAAGTTTTTGTAATAGTTCAAATATTTTCAAAGTCCATTGACATAAGGCTTTGAAACTTTGCACACTTGTTCACCATCATGACCCCAACCTGTAAACAGGAGGAGGTAACTCTATCAAGCATTTTGACAGAATTATGCCCCTTTTTCGACTTAGAATTTACGTTAAAGTTTTTGTAATAGTTCAAATATTTTCAAAGTCCATTGACATATGGCTTTGAAACTTTGCACACTTGTTCACCATCATGACCCCAACCTGTAAACAGGAGGAGGTAACTCTATCAAGCATTTTTTTTACTATCAAGCACTAAGAATAGTCGAGCGTTGCTGTCCTACCGACAGCTCTTGTTGAATGATATTCTGGTCTGTAACAGGAGCCAGTGTATAAGAGTCCTATATTTTTCCCTTATTACAAAAACTTTTAAAATGCCAAAAATGGAGTCATGTTTAAAGAGGGCACTTCATAAAATTGCATGGAAATAAATTTCTAAATTCATATTTACTCCACAGTTAATAAATTTTTATTCAGTCTGGTTCATCTTTTTTTTCCAGGAAAGATGCTGATGAATCAAAATCATGACAAAAGGCGCTGGAGTGAATTTGTTGTAATCAAGGTTTTTGAAATTAACTTCAAAAGAACTTTGTTAGATATTATAAATGTTTACAAACCAAAGATAATTATGTTAAGATAATGAATCTCTACTTCTTCAAGTGTAATGGCAGCATCAGAGTCTAGCCAGGTCATTGTGTACATCCAATGTACTCCTGGTGTATTCATTTGTTGGAATTAATTGTCCTAGAACTAGGACAGTCTTTTTGTTACTTTAAACCTATAAAAAAATCTATATAAACAGTCTAGCAAGGGGACTAGGCACATCTAATTCTACCTGATGTAGTCACAGGTTAACCCTATTTTAATGTTGGTATAATTCAGAACAAAGATGTATATTCTGTCTTGAACTTTTTATGTCAAAAATAACAATGTCACATAAATGTAAGCAAATGTTGATGAAAACAATGATTAAAAACTTATATACAGTTAAAATAAATAACAAAACAATACCGAACACAGTCATTTGTGATATATTCTAGAACAGTTTTTTTCTTATACTCTCGTGATTTGAGATTTTTATTCTACTGGTTGGATACCACCAATTCTGGACAATCATCAAGTCATCAGCAAACCCAGACGGCCCTTAAAACACTTGCTGATATCTTTGTTCAGTGGATGTTGAATATCAGTCGCTTTTTTATCAACAATAAATACATATTTCTTCTATAATCAATAAATTGATTTAACTTCCAGAAACGTTTATAGTTTTATGTCTATTACAATAACATTGACTTGTAAATGCACTACCTGACCTCTCACCAGCTACATGTTTAATCACTTGCAGACAGAATAAGTAATAGAACATTCAAAATTTCATCATATGCTGCTGGAATATTGTATATTATGTTAAAAATAGAAAAATTAAAGCACCCAAGCCATTATCTGCATTACTTTTATGTCAAACATATCTGTCCAGACATAAGGTACTATGTATAGTGAGGACAATTTAGGCAATCTTGATATCCCCCTGGTACGAATCTCAAATACAAGTGTCAACATGATGAGGAAGAAACAAACTCTAGCAATCAAATTTGGAGAAGAATCTAGCTGTACTGTGTCAAATTTCTAGGTATCTAGCATTAAAATTGTAAAATCTGTATGGAAAAATGTTTAAAAAAAAAGTCTGGCTGATGGTCCCTGACCAGTCCCATATACAAAACAGCTTCTGTTTGTTTTACAGGTACGTTGCTATATAACTGGTCAATTAGCATTACTAAACAATGTTATCAGTTGGCATACATAATTTTACTGATATTGCTAATTAAAGCCCTTTGAACCAGACACCTCAATTACAACCGAAAAAACAGAAATAACAACTGCATGGTTGATTACCAACAAGCAACACAACTGTCTTAAAACATTGGCAAAAACTGTTGCTTTAAACACCAAAAAAATGTTAAGTACCAGCAAGAAGGTTATCTAACTCAACAGTTAAAAACAACAGCAAAATTCACTCAAGTGTTGCACCACGGACTGTAATTAGTCAGTGGTGGCACTAAATACTAGAAATGCTTTTACAAATAACAATCAGTCAGTTAACATCAATAGTAAAATAAACAACCGTAAAGATCATTAATGTACAACTGTGATAGAAATGCATTTATAAATACCAACAAGCATATAATTTAACCCAAACATATCAAACAACAGCAAATTTCTCTATATATACATACAAAACATTATGTACAACAGGTAGATTCTGTATAATAAAAGCACTATGTACTAATATGATGATAAACGATGACGGAAGGTATTTTTGACCAAATTATTGAGATTATAATATACAAATTAATATCTCATCAAATGAACATTTTCCTTATGAACAGATTCTAATATTAATAGCAACATTTGAAAGACAAAATGACTGAAATATAGCCATCACAAAATGCATGTATCAATTGGTATTGCACAAAAGTTAATATTCATGGTCAGTGATTCACCATGATCCACTGTCCGTCCATATTCAAGGTCAGTGATACACCATGACCCACTTTCTATTTTCAAGGTCAGTAATTCACCATGATCCACTGTCCATATTCAAGGACAGTGATCCACTGGCCATATTCAAGGTCAGTGATTCACCATGATCCACTGGCCATATTCAAGGTCAGTGATCCACTGGCCATATTCAAGGTCAGTGATTCACCATGATCCACTGGCCATATTCAAGGTCAGTGATTCACCATGATCCACTGTCCATATTCAAGGTTAGTGATTCACCAAGACCCACTTTCTATTTTCAAGGTCAGTGATTCACCATGATCCACTGGCCATATTCAAGGTCAGTGATTCACCATGACCCACTTCCTATTTTCAAGGTCAGTAATTCACCATGATTCACTGTCCATGATTCACTGTCCATATTCAAGTTCTATGATTCACTGTCCATATTCAAGGTCAGTAATTCACCATGATTCACTGTCCATATTCAAGGTTAGCGATTCACCATGATCCACTATCCATATTCAAAGTAACTGATACACCATGACCCACTGTCCATATTTTTGCATGATTCACTATTAGCAGTACAGTATGGTTCGCTGTCAATTACTAATGTATGATGGATGATCTATTGTCAACATTGTAGTGGAATTCCTCACTATTTCATAGTGTTGTTATGGCGAAATTTTACATGGTTACCAATATTGGCGAAATTTTATATGGTAACCATTATTGGCGAAATTTTACATGGTTACCAATATTGGTGAAATTTTACATGGTTACCAATATTGGTGAAATTTGACATGGTTACCACTTGATGGTTCAGCAGTTGGATTTCAAAACTGGAACAGTCCAATAAACTCTTCTGGGCTCAGGACTTTACATTTAGGTGGAAGATCACTGACACAGGGATGGCCAAGTGACTGAAATAAAAATATCAAAGACTTTAATAACATAAAAATAAGGATAATCATTAAATAATGATTTAATGTAAAGTGATCTTGTATAAACTCTCCCATATAAATACTTGAGACATAAGTACATTAAATTCTCAGTTCTCAGGAGTCATTGATGTATGTAACTTCATGGAATACAAATTTATTTTCATATCCCGTCCTTCTACAGCAGTACAAACCACTAGATTTATGAAATTCAAATAAAAACTTATCTTTACATCTACACCTCATATGAGTTCATATCCATTAGAAGTTCAAATCCACAGCTCTCCAGTGGGGGAGGTGTCACATTAAAGGCTGGGTTAAAAATGTGTTGTCCACCAATGAAGAAATAATCTCATGAATAGTTTCGACAGTTGGTTATGTACCAAGAAAGTTTTAAAATTTACAAACTAGGAATTTACCTGCCAGAAAATGTTGTTACAATGGCGGCATATTGCCAGCATATCAGCGTATGTTTCTCTTCTACCAAATCGTCTAAAAAATCAAACAAAATGTTTATATGTACATGTATAATCAAACATTCTGACCGTATATATATTACTAGAATTGCAGACAAGTGTCATTTATATATAACAAGAGCTTTCTGTACATTCATGCAATCTGATCATTATACAGTTAATAGCTCACTCAATAATTGATAGAGTTTGATACTGAAATTCCTGAAACAAATTATTCATTTTTAGCTTGACTAAGAAAAGTATGGAAAGCTATTGTCGTCACACTTTGGTCAAGTTCTTGAACACAAGTTGATATCTCCAAACTACTGAAAGTAATGAGTTGAAACTGCACACACTTTTTTGTAATTTATATTGGTCACTCACTGTATAAGGCTCATAACTCTCACATGGATTTTGTACGTTTTGAATTCAACATTATTCAGACTCTCGCACTGAAAATAGTCAGGCTTGCTGTCCTACCAACAGCTCTTGTACATTCATGCAATCATAAAAGTCATTATATAGTCTTTGAAATTGCTCAATATTTTGTACAATTTAATTAAGTTGTGTAGTCCCAGTGGCTAATAGAAATACTTTTACCACACTTGGTTAATTTATAGAATAACTTACAAGTAGCATCTTTTATAGATATACTTCCAGTCTGTGTGTGATTCATCATCATTCTGGTTATGAAAGTTGAGTATCTGTCGTTTGTTGAAATGGAAGAAGCACATCTGTTTCCATAGCAACTGATCATTGACAATATGATTGTTTGATGCATTTGTCTGACCCAGATGTAAAATGTCCATGTGATCTGGCAGTGTTGTAATGATATGACGTCTGCATTCTTCCGGAAGATCTGTGAAAGTTAATTTTCCGTCATCTTTTCTCTGCAGGTATATAAGGAAAATGCAAATTGGACTAATTCCAGTAAAACACACAAAAATTACTAAACCTGAAAATTGTTTTTTGCTTTATGTTAAGCTGACAATTTGATTTTTGTTAAACACATTCATTGATGTTGAGCAAGTTGGATTTTTTTAAACTAACTGTTCCAAATAAGTGTAATTCAATAGCTTAATTTTTTAATGCAGGAGCAAAATTACAGGCTTTTAAAGAAATAAATAAGTGAAATAAACATTATGAACAAGTTTGCAAAAACACATGATAAATGTGTGACACATTCACTTGAGATGAATAACTTTAAAAATTCCACAGACCTGAAAAACTTAAATTATCATTGGCTTAACAAAAATATCTTTCAACTATTTAGAATTATTTAAATTATAAATAAAATGTAACTACTCTTTTATTTGAAATTTTGAGTTTTGTATTCTATTTAAGACTGAATATGGATTTCAAACTGTGAATTCTGCAATGTGATCTGTACGATGTTCGTTTAATGATCGTGCAGCAAAATTTACAAGGCGACGCATTTCAGTCACATTGTTCTGAGATCGAATAACTGAAATACACATCATAAGAATATTATTAAGATAGAATGATGGCAACAAAGTGAATAAACGTAATTAAATCAAATACATGAAACAATCAAAATGAAATCAAATGAAGGGACCTGAATTATATAAAGAGATTGAATAACTGAAAATATCACAATGAGATTGAATAACTGAAACATTCTACAAAACATTTAAAACTGAAACAATCTCCTGAAGATTTAATAACTGAAATAAACTCTGTATGATTTACATGATTGTAATAACTGAAGCAAATTCTATGAGATTAAATGACTGAGATTGAATAACTGAAATAATCTGCAACCTGACTGAATAACTGAAATTATTAAAATGAGATTGAATAACTGAAATAATCTGCAACCTGACTGAATAACTGAAATTATAAAAATGAGATTGAACAACTGAAATAATCTGCAACCTGACTGAATAACTGAAATTATTAAAATGAGATTGAATAACTGAAATAATCTCCTAAAGGTTTAATAGCTAAAATAATCTCCATGCAATTTTATAACTGAAATCATCTCAATGAGTTTGGATAATTAACTCTGGTGTGGGTTCGATCCCCGGGAGATGCTTTGGTAGTTTAGCACGGAGGAAGGTACATATAGTCTAGTACTGGTGTAACTCTCCAGGAACGATGGTTAGGAAACTACCCGCCTATATGACTGAAATACTGTTAGGAATAGGCGTAAAATGAAACAAACAAACAATTGGATAATTAAAATAATTGTTAGCATATATCAATACAGCCTTATTATAGTCAACCTACTTGTAAATTAAATATTCCTTGTTTTAAAGCAGTATCTCAAAATGTCCAGAGAAAATTCTGTACAAAAAAACTGAACTCAAATTCTAAATCAAAAAAGAGGAATGAAATTGTCAAAATTAGATTTTTCAGGACTGTCTTGCTCTCTTTCCAACAAGTGGAGATGATTAACAGGTTTAATTTAATTGAGGGTCAAATATTAAATGGGGGAATTATTTTGTCTCATTTCATGCGATGTCATTCACAATATTTCAGTGTAGGACATGATCACATATTCTAAGTTTAGAAACATAATCTCAAGTATTTCATTGAAAATGTATAGTACACAGTCTTAAAATTTCAGTGAAATAAGGGGACATAACTTTGTCAAAATCCATGACAAATTTTGTGTTTTCTTTTCAAGTAGATGTGATAGTAGTAAACAATGACTCGAATGTAAGTTCAATGAAGAAGTGGGGTGGAACATAAAAACTTTGAGTTGAGTAGGTTAGTTTTTATCATGAACAGTCATAGCTGCCAAATAACAACAATATCCATGAAAACAGTCCAGCACAAGTTAATTATAACTTTGCAGCTCATTAACTTCATGTTATTTGGTCATTCAGAAAAATGTTTTAAAAACATCACTTTACAAAGTCAGAAAAGAGTCCATCCCAAAAAGAAGATACATATATAGATGTATAATAAAATCTGTGATTAATTTGCTAAATAAATGGTCATATTGTTACAGTTATAAATCATTTCATGATATATTTGATGATCATGATTGTGTCCTTTGTAACAAGTTAACAATTATGAAGTAACCACAAAATATTTGTATATTATAGTGTAGGTATGTCACGTTTTGACCTACTTATGTTTGTATTGGTTTTTTCTTGGTTTTTGTTTTTACCAGATTATCTTACATTCATACATTAGATTTTATAAACATTTTTTTTTCCATGAAGAAGACAAAATGTTAAAAGCTAAGGAAAGCGTTTGTTTTTACTGAACTGATTATATTTTGGATTTTATGTGCCCGGTACATACTTTAAATTTCACACCATATTTTGCTCAAGTCATTTCTGGTCTCAATCCTTATCCATTTACTTAGCATCTACTAGTACTTGGTTATTACCAAATTTAAAATTAATTTAACATTGTGTAGTCAAAAGATTATTAAGACTGAGCCATTTCATCCCTGGCTGTAAAATTAAGATCTTTTGTTTGAAGATCAGTTTTGAAATTGCTAAATTGATAAACCATTATACATTGGTAAAATGATGAAAATTTGTACATTCACTTGGTGATTTGGGACAGTGGTCTAGTGATTACAGATGTTGGCTTCAAACTACTTGCCCCTCACCTCAGTGGCAGGGACGTTTGATTCTATCATGTAAGGAAGCTATCTACCTAGCTTGTGGAATGGTTGTGGTTCTACTCAGATGAATAATGCATGGAAGGGCACCTGAGGTCTTCATCCAACAGTAAAGCTGGAAAAGTTGTTATATGATCTCTACTGTATGTTGGTATGATATCAAATCCAACCCAAAAAAATAAAAGAAATTAAAACATTAAAAAAATTTGGGACTTACCATCACTGACCATTTCTTCCATGATACCAAATATATGTTTTTGCACAGCCCCACTAAGAAATGCAATCTTGTCACACACTAGCAGTTTAAGCAGCTAAAATAATAAAAGAAAAAACACATTTCATGTCCAAAGTTTCACAAAAGTGTTGGTACAGTTTTAGAATAAACTTTTGATATCAATGATATCTAAATACTGTCATTATATTTACAAATTTTGTTTACATTTGAAACTTGAAAATTTGATGCTACTGTAATAATATTGCACTTATAATATAACACTCTGTTACAATTCATGCAAGTCACACTGGTTATCTCCCCTGGTGCTGGAGCTGAAATTTTATGATAATTATCACTGTAAAAAATGTACTTAGAATTTTAACACCAAATAAATAAAATACTGTCTTTCTTCAGATTAAACAGACCAACTCATGCTTGCCAATTTACTATCAAATTCAGTATATTTTTTGTATTTTTTTTTATATTTTCATTTTTTTACTGAGGTGACTCCTGCAATTTACCTTGTTAACATAGTTGAATCTCCTCAGATCTTTTCCTGCAGTTGACATGTCCAGGTGTACAAATGCCTCACTAATACTAGTAAGAACCTTTTGTTCACGTGACGTCGCACGAATATACCGGATGTAAGGTCTGTGCACGTTGTGTAAGTCGTCATAGCACGTGTCCCATTCTTCGAGGGCCATTCGCAGTATCCTGAATAATTCAATACAATCTACATAAATATTTACCAATAATCAAACGTTACGCTAGCTTTTTTGTGTTCATTTCTCACTTCTTTACAGACGTGCTGAAATGACGTATCTGGTGATACCATGCAGACGAATTCATCTGTCTCTCACTAATTCTAGCATGATGATTCTTCTGATAAAACAAAGGACAGCATTGTAGTCTTGGTATTTGAAATCATTTAACAAACTGTCAATAATGTACCTCTAGGTGTCTGTGGTGGGATTATCTAGTAGATACATGTTGTCTTAGTGATGCACGTGATTTCCCGCCAAAACAACATCTAGAGATAGGCACTCGAATATGAATGACAACGTGGAGCAATTCTCTCCAAATTAAATAAATAAATATAATTCAAAGTTTATAAGAAACGCCCACTTTGGATAACGTCATTTCAGTGTTGTGACGTCTAAATAGTGCCGTGACGTCTATCATGTAAATTCAATGGTGGTACAGCTAAAGTAGTTTATCTTGGAAGACTTGAACGTTCCCAGACTCTATTCATGCTTAAGTTAAGTAATCTTATACATTTTAATATTTATTCTAGTATCAATAGATGTTAGCCTCCATTATCGTCTTATATCCATAGATAAACTGACCTAAAATCATACAATCTTGCCCAATTTCTTATAACTTCGTTTATGCTAGGGCATAATTGGACGTAATATATTATGTCAAAGGTTCAGGTATGGAATAATATATGATAAAGATCCCTTCTAGTTTTGATAACTAGCCACACGATCCAGCTTGTAAGTTCCCAGGTTTAAGTCTGTTTACCTGTTTAACCTATGGCAAATATACATGTTTATGTACTAATTAAACGAATTACAATATTTAAAGACCCTCTACTTCTATATCACTAGCTTAATTACTGCACGTACCTACCTGAAATATGTCATTTAATATATATAATTAATTAATTTGACCCAATATATTTATCTTGCTGGAACCTATAGTGATAATATCCGTTGCCATCAGCCATGCATCTGTCCGCTCCATACTTCAAATTTTCATCCTAATACCCCCTAAATTTATTATGAACAATCCCAAAAATAGAAGTTGGGCAAGTCTATTTTACGAAATTCAATTAAACATGCACATTTATGTATATATATAATATATAAATGCACTTATTTTTTATGAAAAGCAGTTAAAAGTGCATGTACAAGTAGCTTTAACATTGCCAGTGACATTATGAGCCATATGATACAGCATCAGTTCTGTCACTCATTTGGTTAATAATAAAATTATCAGCTGATTACCGAAATTGATTTTCATTAATTATGTCAAGCTATAGAAACCGTGACCTACCTTGCAAGACAGTGCGAATTCAGGTTTTCGAACACTTTTACACGCCACAATTTCAGTTTCTCCCATCCTTTCCCTGTCCGAACCCATTCATCTCCGGGAGATCGCCAATCCCGACCTAAGTATGGCATTATTTTCGAAAAAAATTTAAGCTTCTGTTGTACCACACAAGTCTTTTGTTGCGTATTGCGTATTTTCTGTTTACATTTTTTCAGGAAGTTTAAGAAATTATTACGGAGCGAATAACAACTATCGATTTCATTGGATAAACTGCTCAAGTGCTTACCGTTGATTGGTTTAAAATGTTTACCACGTGGTTTATGATAATCACATGGTTTTGTTTACAAACACAGCTGATCTAATATATTTGCGCCGCAATTTTCCTCTCGTACAACTTACCTGTTCAAATAAATCATTAACCGACTTAAGTACATCACCCATAAATGATGTTGTTTTGATTTTTGAGGGAAAAATAAAATCTGAGTGAATTGCGCGTGTATTTGTTGAATGTAGGTCAAACTAGGTCGTTCTATACATGCACAAATGTATATTTGTTATACGTAAAACCTACAAGTCTGTCATTTACATTTGCAATATTTTGGTTGTTCAAATACATCATTTAGTATTGAGTTTGCAGAGAAACAATGTCTCTGCTACGCATAAATGTCAAACTTAACGGAAAAAGAACAAATGGTCATATCCTGTTGAATTGTAATAAGTGTAATTGGGCTGAAGCTTCTAAGTAATACATGCGCAAATTTTAGTGAATTCCGCTCGAATGCTACTGGCATGGAATTGAAACGAGATTCGAGTGTTATGAATGAGTCGTATTTGTTTGCATAATAGTTTCTCGGAGATAAAATGCGCAGAATAAATAACCTTACATATAAAGAGACGTAGAAAGTTCCTGGCACCAAAATCGGTGCTTCTGACAAAGGTAGAACTTGAATGGTAAATTACTTGAACAGGCGCCAAAAATTGAAAAAGATTTATAGAAATAACAAATGTTTCATCATTGCGGTTTTTGTCTGACATGTATATCTTAAAGTTGAAACGATTTTGAACATAAAATTATTCTAAGTATATCTAGATGTCTTTTAACAGCAAGTTTTTATAAAGTTATTGACGTAAGTCAGAGCTTCAAAAATTATTTAATCTTTGAGTTCTCCAGAAGAATCAGCTGGAGAACTAACGGGCATCGGTAGACCATGCGCCTACCGAGATCTCTGTTAAAAAGCCCATATACGGGAATATACGGGAATATTAAATTATAGCTCGAGTTGCTGTGGATCGAACTTAAAACCTGTCTGTTTTAGTAATCACATCGTATTACCGGTCCCAGTGATTACAGTTGTCTGCAGTGATGACAGAAATCTAAAATTTATTAATTACTACAGGTATGTCAAATCTAGGTTGGCATATCAACATTACGCAAATTAGGACAATTTCATTGAAATAAACTAACTGTCTACTGAGATAATTTAGGACTCGTTTCCGCATTTCATAAAATATTTCAAGCCGGTTTAAAATGACAGGTACGTAAAAATTCGTTTAAAAAACAAGTATTTACCAACAGGCACTTTGGTGTGGAGCTCCAAACGGGTTAAAATTCAATTAAATTGTATGTTTGTCAATATATGCTTATCATGTATGACGAGCATGATGGTAAGAAACAAATGATACGAATGCAGATCACTCTTGTACATGTAGGCATTTTACGCAGCAATTTAAGTTGTAAAGCTGCTTCTATTTCTTTACGCATTTACTAGCCTAATTAATTCGACATGAACAGTTTGATCCATTTTACAAACTGTTTTTTTTTCTACTGTCAAAATTTTCCGTCTTTAGTTCGATATTGAGGGGAAACCTGGAGGGGGGACAACAAATATCTATAAGGATATGTTGGCCGTTACTTCTTCAGTGCTCCCAACAACATCTAATTGTGCACAGTCCGTGTAGAAAAAAATGCAGTTCGTGGTTGGACTTGAAAAAAGACATATCGATGTCTCTTAAAATTTTAGTTGGACTACGCATTTACATAATTACATTTGTAATTACAAATACATATAGACAAAAAGACGTAGTAGCAGAAGGAAAAAGAACAACAAGAAAATTTTCGTACCACATACAAATTACCAGACTGATGCAGAAAAAGTAATGCAAGATAATTGATATTATCAGTCATATACAGGTAACAAATTACTTGTACAAGGGAATTAACTGTGACAATCTTAACACAGCCGATACATATATTTGATTTGCTTCCCCTGAAACGCGTACATTTTAGCAAATATAGGAAAAGGCTTCTTGTCTAAATCACGTTGTTCTCATAGTTTCACTAGAAATACACAAGAATGCAATTATTTTTTGTTTGAGAACTACAGAAATGAAGAAGTTATGGAACAGAGCATATTCATTGACGATCCGTTTATATTAGTAATGAAAGGCTCTTCGGTGGTGGTGGTGTTGGTAGTTTTCACTTACTGCCGGATCACGGCAGTAAGCCATATTGAATTCACCAGAGCACAGTTCAACCACCGTATCGTTCCTGGGTAGGATATCAAGCAGTTTACCGGTACTAGTTGCCTTCACTTTCGCAAGGAACTGAAACTTTTGTACATGCCAAAGGAGAGGTACAGTGCGAATGACAGTATAAAGGATTTCATGATCAATCACAACGAAAGTGACCTGCGCCGTCCGGGAATCGAACCCGGGTCGCCCGATTCACAGTCCAACGTTCTACCTATTGAGCTAAAAGTGCGGCTTAAAATGATAGTGGCATGAGTAGGTATCGAACCCAAGACATCACGATTATTAGTCCTGCGCACTACCTACTGAGCTATTCAGGAAATAGGCTCTTCGGCAGGTTATATGTCCATTTATAAACGGCTACGAGCTTCTAGACAGACTGCACTGTATCATTTAATATATAAAATATCTTTATGTCTAATATAATAAACGGACTCACTAAGATTATTGCTTGTAATTTTCTTTTGTTTACGAGTTATAAAGTTAAAACATGTACTTTTCATAAAAAAATCATTGAGCAACCATATGTATAGGTATATAGAAATTCAGAAATGCCAAATGAGAATCAACATTACAGTCGTACAGTAATATATATACATATGAAAAAAAAACTTTACAGAACAAAGTTGCTATTTCATCCTTTATTTTATATGAATGAGATATTGCGTGTATTGCGATATTTTAACAAACAATCATGGCTCCGATGTCGGGTAACTTTAATCAAATGATTGTTTTAATGAGATATATTTTATATATTAATTTCAGGCTACCATTGTAACATTGCTAATCAACTGGAAGACGTTTCTGAACATCTTTTAGTAATTATAAAGTCAATATAACGATAGCCATGTACATTTAAAACTTTTCATAAAGTACAAATCGTGTATTCAGAAATAAATTCATTTATCCCGTTATTCTTGCGCACCAAAATAACGTACGGATTTAGTTTTTATTTGATTTTTATTGGATATTATTAGGATGACCGTCCCTTTATCCCCATGGTAAGCGAATCTTTCTACTTCACATTTTTTAGATGTTAGAACACTGAACCTTAAGCCGTCTTACCAAAATGGCACAGAAAAATCTTCCATTTAAGAATAAATGCATGATAAGGTCGTACTATTGTCTCTAAATTTGTTGTCCAAATGATTTACATTATGTATTCCATTGGACGGAATCGAAGAGGGAATTGATGGTTACGACAGTTAAATTGTGGCGCAATGTCAATTTACCTGCTACAACCAAGGTCTGATGCAAGTATGGCGGGTACTTCACTACTTGACATTCTTTGCTAAATATTCACAAGACTGGTTCCTTTTACGACGTCGAGTAGTGGCCGAATGATGTTACGGTTATCGAATGCCGGAGATGTTCATGCCACTGCCATCAGGGAATTCAAAATTCCTTTGTTTTACTTAAAAGAAACATAACGAAAATGGGGACCCGTACTCTCAGTGCATGATAGGGCGGATGCCCCCCCCCCCCCCCCACACACACACACACACATACTGGTAGGTTACTGGTGTGATGCCACTGATGCTTACTGTGTGAAACTTACACTTAAAAACCTGTTACATATATATCAGGACCCAACATTGGTTTAAGATTTAATAATGTCTGAAAAAATGTTAATGGTGTGTTAGTATGTGTACTTGATGATTGTCTAAGAGTAATTGACCAACAAACTCTCAAAAGGTTACCGAAAGTGCACTTTGTTCTGCGTTGAATTGAAGAAAATGAAATATTCAAAACAAATTTCACCGATAAGATCAGAGATCGAATAAGCAATTTAACCTTAACAATGTCAAAATTTTATAATCCTAGATTATATAAAACAAAACTTACAGGGCATTAATGGACTTAAGACAGGTGATTAGTACTGTATGTTTCTAAATGAAAATCTGATGTAAGCGGCTTAGCATAGTTATTATTAATGTTTTTAAGCCGTTTTTAGTGGACCTTAAAATACAAAATATTATTGATATCGGTGTCTTTGCGAGAATATGGTGGTCATTTAATTAATTTATATTTTTAGATATTTTGGATATCTTTTTTAAAGTTTTTGTGTTTAATATTTCAGTTTGTGTCAGGAAGTAAACATAAAGGTAAGGCTATTTTTTTTATAACAGTCATGTATTTAATAGCAATGCATGTGAATTAACTTAAATAAATTTGAAAACGATCTTAAAAAATCTTAAAACAGCATGAGTTTTATAAAGTGGTATAGTCCGGTATTTCACAAATTGTAGAATTTAACCAGTAGATACCAGTACATGTATACATGTCATTATATATACATTATACATTTTTCACATAACAGTTATGTAAAGAAATATTATTTATGTCTGAACCTAAAAGCTTTTGATTTAATGTACAAAATGTACATGTATATTGATTGAGAGCAATTGTAGTAGATGTGCCATATATTAATAAAAGGCGTTTATGAAATGCTGCATGCCAAAATGTTTCACGAAAAACCAACGTTAAAAATGTACTTATTTTTAAGAAAAGTAAAAAAAATCACTGCCCACTGATTTTGCAGTATTTATCAACATATTTCTATTCTTTGACTAACTCAGTAAGGATCATTTTAGTATATTTTGACTTTTTTTGTAATTTACGTGGATTATAAGTCCCGTTTGCAATGTTTTACTTACTTTCTTTGTTCACTTCTCAATATGTTGTTTTTAAATACATTTTTAAAAAATTATGAATATTAGCATAAATCTGATAGCATGCTGCTTTAAATTGTTTCAATCAAGTTATCAACGACTACAAAGTATTTCATATTGTCTTTTATTGATTAAGATTATCTACTAAGGATTGCCTGTCACACAATAGAATATAAATATTTCTATGATTTAAGAATGGTTGACCTAACAAACAAAAAAATTGTACAATTCTATTGTAGATGTATAGATCAGACAGGTAATTTAATTGTGAATTTTCTCACGTGTGATGTGTTGAATATTGTTTGTCTTCCTTTTGATTGTACATTTTTGTCTGATTTACTTTGACGACAAAGTGTATATGTATACTAACTGTGAAATTATCAGAATCGAACCTGCAAATGTGTGTCATCATCCGAGTCATTCCCCGTTTGTTTTTTAAATATTTTTTCCCCATTATTTTCTTGTTCCCCTTAAATGCAATGTTTCCGCATTAAATGTTTAAACTGTGTCATGTTTCCAGTAACACAACCATACGAAAAACCACACATCTCATGCGTTTGCTTCATTACCTAAAAATAATAAAATCTAACTACATGTAATTGTTTGGTACCGTTACTGTATACAATCGTTTTATATATACTATAGCTAAACGTGAAAAAATGGTTTATTAATATAATATAATATTAAATAAACATAATTTTATTAAAACAAAGCCTGAGCAACTGGGTTAGATATTATGGAAATGTGCCATGGAGTGAAGAAGCTACCTAGGTCCGTGGTTCTACACTGAAAATGCCTGGAGGTCAACCAAAGACTTGGACACTCCATCCATAAAACCTGGAAAATAGCAGCATGGCCTTTATTTAAAGCCCTACCAAAGACACAAAAAACACGAAAGAAATATAATTCAGTTTTTATTGCAGTAAATCAAACAAAATAATTAAGAAAATTCGTACATAATGTAGACTTGTTCGTGTAAAACTAACCGTCTAAGTACTCTTTTTTTCTCCAGGAATCCTCGAAGGGCGAAATCGTCTGCAAGAAAGGACATGACGCCGCATGTAAGTGACCCTTCTTTCTTCGTAGAAATATACGAAGCTATTGTTTTTAGATACATGTAATATGTTTAATAAATGAGGATCAGATATTACAGTAACTTCTAGAATTTGTCCTGATTGATTGAGATACTAGAAAGTCGTACCATTGAAAGGCTTCATCAACGGGTTACACTTTATTTTGATTATATAATAATAAAAAAGAAACAAAATTTAAAATCTTTTCATACTAGTAACAAATGTCAGTGACTTTTTCTCATTTGCCTCAACATTATTAACACAGCAAAATAAACATCAAATCTATTATTCGATTTCAGAGTGGAAGAGTAAGAGTTGGTGGAATCTTTCGAATACAAGGTCAAGGTTATCAAAAACAGGAAACAGATTACCCAGCAGACGGTGCTGCAGCTGCTTCCGGTGTATACATGGCGTCAAACGCACTTCCGGCTGATTCGGAGATGGAAAGTGATGGAGATACTAATCCTATGTTAATTGACGAACTTGTTGGAATAAATAAAACTCTTGAAAAGCAAATAGAGACATTGAGATTACGTTTAGACTTTGATTGTCGTCATCACGAGGCACAGAAGAGCGCAATTTTTGCCGAGACTGCAACGAAATTAAAGTCTAAGTCAGAGGAAATTAATATCCTTAAACAGCAAATTAGTGCCAAAGATGCTACTATCAAAGACATCTCTAGTGAAAATGAAAAGAGGGACAATGAAATAAGTTATCTCCGGCGTCAAATCGAAGCTTTGAATGAAGAAGTTGGCAGTGCTAAAACTTATGCGAATAGTCTGGTATCTGACCTTACTTCCCTAACTAGAGAAAAGGAACGTCTTGAGATGGAAGGAGTGTTTGGAGATAAGGATAAAGAAGTCGATGCGCTTAGAAAAGAGGTCAGTGAACTAAAACTTAATCTTACTACACTGGAATCAGAACTTGCGAAAGCGCGAGAAGTGATCACAAATCAAAGTGGAAAAATAAAATTGATGGATTCTGATAAAAAGTCGCTACAGCTGAAATTCAAAGAGGAATTGGCCAAGGTGTCACATTCTATGCGTTTAGAGGTTGAAAAGATGCGTGACGTCATGAAAAAACAATGGGAAGAAATGCGCGCGCTCAGAGAACAGAATATGTCAATGAGCAGAGACATAAAAGACATTCGTAGTTTGTTGGTCAATGGATGCCTTGACGACGATGCTAAAGTCCAACAGCAACAGGATAGTCAAAGTCACGTGGTACAACAAGAACCGCAAGCTCCTCCCATTACCGTGCCACAGACTGCACGCGGCGGAAAGACAGTGTACAACAGTTTTAATATGGGGGCACTTAAACCTTCACTTCCGATTTTGAATAAAGATAAAAAGAACAATCAACGCAGAAAATGAAAAAAAAATGTACGAAAGTGATTCCTTTGCCATAAATTTGCTATTATGATAGGCTTGTATGGTTTGAAGAAGTATGTTGTAGCACCTTTTGTTTGTTTATTTTACCACTGTCACATAATAAGTCACCTAATTTGTCAAGACATAGTGATATTTCTTGCCATTTTTAACGCTTGTGAAAATAAAGGAGTTTTTACGAGTGATATTTTGTACTTGAGTATTTGAACTTCCTTTTTGCTTGTTGAATTTCAATTGTAACACAGTAATTCTATTAAGTTTAGCGTGAAACATTCCATTATATACATGTATATGTTATGTAATAATATGTCTTCCCAGAAATGTTGCATAAAATATGTTCAAACGATAATTTGTTAACTTATAATTAAAATTCTGTTAATCTTACACATTGTGAGATATTTGTGATATGTTCTTATACATATCATCTATTGCCAACTTTCCGAAACTCACTTCAAGATCACTGAAAATAAAATTTCATATATAGATATCACACATACGACTACATGTATTAAGGGAAATTCATATAAATTCTCCTTTTATACAAGCAAGTTTTTCTTTCTTAGATCATATTTTTATCTATTTTTTTAAAATACCTTCATTCACTTACATGTATTATTTTCCTGATTAATAGAGATAAACTGTTTAAACATTTTAAAAGGTTTTCATGTTATACATGTACATGTATTTACCACGTCTATTTATACCTATAATAACTTAGATAGTAGACATACCCTCTAAACCATCTTTATTTTTCTAAACAAAAATAGTCAAAGTTTCTTTATTATAACATGTTGTTTCCTGAAGTAACCTCGGAGGCTCCCTGAAGTAACCATGGAGGCTCCGTTACTAAAGCGTTGGTTATACGTAAATCGATTTTTAAACATTTTTAACAGTAGTAGAATGACATATTAAATTGAAACATTTAGAGGAAGTTTGATCACTCAATGAGAAAATTTACGAAACATGGTGACCAGACCATACTTTATGAATGTTTTTATTTAATGATAAGTTAAATCTATTGATTTTTGTATCAATGCGATGGTATAATTTTAAGGACTATTGTTTTGATAAAATTCTTCTGATTTGAAGAACGCAAAAAAATCCCCCATTATTGATGTATTAGATGATCAATATCAGAATGATAGGTGTAAAATATCCTTGTATAGAATGACTCAGCTAAACGAAACAAGGCCAGTCTAATCTGTGTTTGTTTCATGTCCTGCGATGGTATTTCTTTTTCTTATTTTCGGGAGTAAAAAACAAAAAACTTGAAAAATCTTAATTGCGATAATATAATTAATAGTCTATATCAATTTTACACATGATACTAACCACAATTAACAATAATGGACAAAGTTGTAACTGGATTTATATAATCTCGGAAGTTCTTTTAAAACATACATCCACAATACTTAGTAATGATAATGTTGAATAAGGATTGCGAATAGTCCGTAAATTACCCGGAAGTCAAGATAGAAACAAACAGCTTATGGCCAAAAATAAATTAAACAGTCTCAGGTTTGTTAAATGACATGTAATCTCTATATGACGTCATTTAGGATTTTCGGAATACCAACAGCTCAAAACCAGAAACAAGCAAGAAACAGTTGAAAAGCCGGTCGATGTAAGAATTGCGAAGTTCTTATCAATTGCAGCTTTTTGTCTCCTTCCACAAAACCCAAATAAAGTATTCTTTAGTAATGAATAAAAATGAAAGAGTTGTTTCAGAAAGACCTAAGTTCGGTACAGTGAGTGTGTATGTTCTGTTAAGAAAAAATAGAATTCTCTTGTTTTGACTTACAAACGGCACAATCTGTCTTTTTATTAAAATATATTTTTAAGCTTATAAGCTTTGTATAAAATGTTTATAAAAACAAATTGTTTCGTAAATTGATCCTGTAACAGTTTTCTTAAACGAAGGGACAATTTGAAATGTTTTATATCAATTAGGTAGAATATGGCCTTGCGACGATGACGATTTAACAAAGGGACATTATATGCTACCATAAATATTGCCTTTAGTAACTTATCAGATCATTCGTTATAGATGATTGGTCGTTAACCATAGAAATATCTGTATAACCGCAGATATATGACGAATTTACATACATATACATTCAGTCCTAATTATTTCTACTTTAAGATCTAAAATAAATAAAAATAGAAGCAAGGTCATGTCGAGTACAACATAAATTTTCTTTGTGTAAAAAAATTATATCTACTGTATTAAGCTTATAACATAAAGAAATCTTAAAATAAAACACAATCAAAATTGAATGATATACATTTGTGTTGTTTAAAAAATCGTTTTTTTCCCCAAGAGACAAGAAATAAGTTTATATATCATCTAAATTATGACTGTTTAGTCAATCTTCAAAGAATATGGCTTATAAGTTGAACGTGTATGATTCAACTATATAATAACAACGGACAAGGAACTACAAAAAGGTGTACAAAAGGACTCTGTGAGTGCGTCGATTTGTTACAATGACCAGGAGAGCTGCACAGTTTATACCGAAAAAACCGGTACCTTTAATTAAAATAGGTGAGTTGTATTTTGTTTTTTGTTTGTTTTGTTATTTTTTCCCTTCGTTTTTCCTTCTTCTGTTTTTAGAGAAGAATATTATACTTATATAAAATACTTGAAATAAATACTGAAGTAAAATACAAATGTAGTTAGAATACCTAAAATGCATTAACTTGAAAGTCGGACTTCAATTCATCATCATCATAACAATGTCATCATTATCACCCTTAACAACAACAATGTCATCATTATCATCCTTAACAACAACAACAATGTCATCATTATCATCCTTAACAACAACAACAATGTCATCATTATAATCCTTAACAACAACAATATTGTCATCATTATCATCCTTAACAACAACAACAACATATATGTCATCATTATCATCCTTAACAACAACAACAGTTATCAACAACACTGTCATCATTATCATCCTTAACAACAACAACAATATCATCATTATCATCCTTAACAACAACAACAATGTCATCATATATCAACAACAACAACAACAACAACAATGTCATCATTATCATCCTGAACAACAACAACAACCATGTCATCATTATCATTCTTAACAACAACAATGTCACCATTATCATCCTTAACAACAACAACAATGTCATCATTATCATCCTTAACACCAACAACAATATCATCATTATCATCCTTAACAACAACAATGTCATCATTATCATCCTTAACAACAACAATAACAATTATCAACAACAATGTCATCATTATCATCCTTAACAACAACAACAATGTCATCATTATCATCCTTAACAACAACAATGTCATCATTATCATCCTTAACAACAACAATGTCATCATTATCATCCTTAACAACAACAACAATGTCATCATTATCATCCTTAACATAAACAAAGTCATCATTATCATCCTTAAGGTAGACCATGGGTAATGGGCACCATAAGGAACTGTTAAATTGACAACATAGGACAGTTATATGTCTTCAAGGTCACCTGTATGCAAAATTTAAATAAAATTTACCATGTGGTTTATGAGTTATGGATATATTTCTGAACTAAGAATTTGCCATTAGAAGGGCTTATTTTCAGAAATGAGGAATCTCTAAATAATCTGTTTTATCATCATTATAAAAAATGTTTTTCTATTGCTCATTGATAATAAACAAATAATAACATTCAGGTAACAAATTACACAATCAAAATGTTTGTTTCTAAACAAAATGTTCTTAATATGAAAAAAAAATGTTACCCTACCCCACCTACTTAAAACACTAATTTTACCATTTTCCTATCTAAAATGCCTTATTCAAAAAAACCTAAAATTTACCATAATGAGGTTTGCCTAAATTTGCTATAAATTTTGGCATTATTTAGCAAATAAATACCTACAATAATTATATAGTTTAAATCAAACCCTTTTTTCTTCCATAAGGGATCAGAGAGATACATAAATAATGTTAATAGGAAAAAAAGAAGAAAAAAAGTTGCCCCTTCTGGGGTTTGAACCCACGCCCCTCAATTTCAATGTAGTTGGCAAGTGATTCTAGCCTATTTAAATACTCTTCAAAGCGGAGGTAATGCATTACCCATGGTCTACCTTAACAACAACAATGTCATCATTATCATCCTTAACATAAACAATGTCATCATTATCAACCTTAACAACAACAGTGTCATCATTATCATCCTTCACAACAATAATGCCATCATTGTAATTCTTAACAACAACAATGTCATCTTTATCAACTTTTAAAACAACAACAACAACAACAACAATGTCATCATTGTCATCCTTTACAACAACAATGGCATCATTATCATCATCAACAGCAAAATCAATAACAAATTATAATTGATAATGGTGATGATGACAATAATGATAGTGATGATGACGTTGATAACAACGTTACACATATCATCATCACTATTATGTGGTACTATCAAAATTTTCAAGATTATTTGTAACAAACAAACATTGTGTCTGACTTGGATATTTACATTTTCATTTATAAAAATGATCTACCATTATGGGCATGTATAAGGTAAAGATGTTACGTATACCCATTAAGTTATTAGCATTTACTGCCCTTGGTAGAATAGAAGAAGTCATTACATATTTTATACCGATTATATATACAATGTACGCAAATCAACAGAAACGATATTCAGAACATATGGGTTTTTTTTCTTTCTTTTTTGTCAACATCATTCAAAGATTGATTTGTCATTTCAAAAAGCACGTATTCCAAACTTGCACGGAAGTTAACGAGGAAAGTTTCATTGTACGCATATAAACGAATGTATTTACAAATGATTATTGTAAAGTAGAATCGACCTTATTGATCACTGAAAGACGTTTTTCAATTCTATACTGCAAAAATAAACACCGCCTTTCATATCTGCCACTTTATTTACATAGGCTTATATGATATTTATGTACTCACTCCCGTGAATAAGTAGTCGAGTATGGAAATGATGACGATAATAAAGTTAATTTCATCGCAATATCTCGGCCCTTTTCATCAAGAAGCGGGTAAGAATTTAGACCAACTCCGTATTATTTCCGAGATGATTTTCAATAATCAGCCAGGTGTTCCGAATGTTACATAAGTCATGATGCGACTTTTATTCATTTGAAGGTGCGTGGCCTTGAAGCATATACTCATATATGGTACTGAGCAACTATAAAGTCAGTTCTTTAAAGCAGAATTTTGAATATTTGGTGTTTCTCCACTCACTTTCAGAACATTTTTAGGAATTAACTCCCTTTTAAAGTAATGTTACATGTCTAATTATTGGCTATCTGGTATCTATCTTTGTCATATTCTTACTTGTTTATACCACATGTCAATAAACAAATTTACAATTTATATGCATTTATTTTCTTCCAATGATTGTTATTATCTTAAATGTTTCTGGGATTGTTTTTTTATCAATTCATTTGTAAATAAGATTGTTATAATTATGTCTATTAACGGAATAATTTTAATGAACACGAAATTAGTTCACACCTACATGTGTATTGGTAACAGATGGTTTAAGCCAATGAAAACAGGTCAATATTATTATACTCAGGCAGAGAAAAAGTGTGCAAAGAGTAAATCGATAATCTTTATGTAGCCAGCAAACTTTGAATTGCAAGTATTTTTTCATATCTTTTCGGCAGAATAAAGTTTTCGAGGATTCGTATCGTAAAATGGCTGCCATTTACAGTATCAAGTGATTATCCCAAGCACCACCGCGACTTTGCGCGGGAATTTTAATTATAGCTAACCTCGGCGCGTATACCTTTTTCATATTTTATTGTAATAAATATTAACAAACTGTGTCTTTCGGTTTTTTTTATCAATATATAACCAATAATGAGGTTAATATGAATAAATAATCATATCTCAAATCTTTGAGTGTATTAAAAAGGTTTTTAATTTCCTGTAATTTTATTTTGTGATTATGCTTCAAAGCAGTCAATTGACCGTGAATTTTCTTTTCATATTTTGATTTCCTTGAAATCATTTTTCTCATCTGAAAGCATGCAACTTTAATATGGTGATACATTAATTACATTCCATGAAAATGTTTAAAGATATAAAATATCTCATGACATGTTTATTCATTTTACATTACAACAAAAAGTAGTATGCAATCGTACCTATATTACATACGAATGTATGTAATATTTTTCTTGTTTATATTACATTAGTCGTGTTATGAACAGAGTCCTGATTCCGTACAGTGAATATTGAACCTTTTGTAGGGGATTTCTTTATTACGCACTATTTGATGTAGTGACAAGAGTTAAATCGAAATGTGTAAATTAGAAACTTAATTTTCATGGATACTTTCGTCAAGGTATTGCTTCTTTTTTATTTCTCTTCATTTTCATTACGTAGCTGTAGCCCATTCCCTTTAAAAATATATTTTACCCAAAATCATTCAAAATTTCTGTGTTTACACTTTAAACACCCACTGTAACAGTTGTAGCAACAAGTATAGATCCAGACCTGTCTGTCTGGCCAGGGTCTTTACTTTTGATTGGTCAATAATACCATTTTAATATACTGTGACAGTGGGTAGTTCTAAACTTAAAACAGGGTGAGACTTTTACACAATTTATGCAGGGTAAGGGCTAAAATTCCGTGCTATATTGCAGACAAGTAATACAAATACATCGTGATTTTGTGAAAAAAGGACAATTTGACCATTGCTATAAGTCGGTTATATAGACACTTTATACAAAGATTTATACCGATCTAAATCGATGATGTTATATATCCTTCATTATTCCCCGCAGTAAATTATTTTGAACATGAATTAAATTGATAATGTATCCCCATTTTAAAACTCCAATATGCCGTACCTTATCTATTAAATTTCTAAAAATCGATCACCGATCGCGCACCGAATAATGGTCGGGGTCAATATTTATTTGTTTGTTTCCAAAATTTTCAAACCTAAACAAGATTGCTTTACAGAATACAGTATCTTTGACCAACTTTTTATCATTCTTTTCAAAAGATTTGACATCATTACGTGTATCAATTTCAGATTGTCAGATGTGTTTTAAAATTGTGAATGTTATTTTAAAAAATTGATAATTTACATGTGTTTAATTTATTGGTTAAGCGAGTTGGTTAAAGTTAAGAAATAACACTTATCTCTCAAATTAAACCGAATACTTTTTAAAAAAAGGAATATCAGAATGTAAACTGGAACATAGCTCGAACTGGAGCATACTTTGTTTAAAGAATGTGACATTGTGTAACATTTTGTGACATTGTGTTAGATTGTGTGACATTATAATTATTATTATCACATCATGGATTTTATTAAACATAAAATATAGGAATGCATAAACTTACAGCGTATTATAAAGGTGAGTAATAGCGGTAATTTTTCAAACTTTCAAAGTTTTCAAAAATGAACTAACAACAATGCTACTCTTATTTGCTTCCGTTTGTCGTATGTTTTCATTCAGTAAAACTGGACCATAATAAAACTATTATATGTTATAGCCGACAGAAGTGGCTGTACTGTGGACTGCATTATATTCAGAAATGTATACCTTTGGATAAAACGACTTTATTTACTCTTTAAATATCTCTCTTTATCATTTATCATGCCAAACGTTATTTTATCTACTTTAAAAAGGTAAATGCATATACATCCGACACCAAATAAGTTATGAAATGGCTATTCTTCGTGACTTAGTTATGGTAAAAACCAACTGAATATTGTATTATTTTGTCATTTATAATTAGTTAACAATTAGTTAACAACAGTTTAACAAGTTTCACAACTCAGACTGGTTAAGTTGACATAATTGTGCGTCTTCTCTAACTTATAATATATCCCAAAAATATACCATTTTTAAAGTGGCTACAGCTAAGTTATTTCATACTTGGACAATTAGGCCTTCAACTTGATGAGACTTACATTGATATTGAGCCATTAATGATCTTGACATTCAAGGTCAAGTTATTTAATTGATTTTATTTTTGCTGTTACTGGCTATAAGTTTATTAATATATGTTTTTCTGATAGGTAGTTTGACATAATTCAGTCCCATTTAAGACCGTTTTTATTCAAATTGGCTTCAGAAGACTTTATTACCTAGTTATCTCCCTTTATCTTTTTTTACCAATATAATATACTCTTTTACCAAGGCAATTAATTGTTTTTATTATTGCTACACAGATGAAACATAATAATATAGAGCGAGTTTGAATTTGGCTTCAGACAACATATTTTTCGAAAACTTTAGTGATAGTTCTAGTTTTTTCCAGGGGTCAAAATACACGAGCATTTACAAGCATGATTCAATAGCTTTACATTTTACAACATTAGAATTTATTCCGAACACTGCTAGTATGCTGCTAGTTTGCTAGTTTGTCTCAGGCAAAGATTTCTCTTTCTGGTTTTCATTTTTCAATTAAAAAAATGTGTATATGTATAAGAAATAATCCTGTAAAGAAATAATGTTTAAATTATGTTTGAATATTTCATTCGATTGAGGATCTGCATGAAACACGCTGAAACGGATTTCAAAAAATCGATTTGAGTTGTATATTTCAATCATTTAATTCATTTTTTCCCTATTGCTAATGCACTATCATCATATGAGCATTATATTGCTTTCAAAACAGATCTGTAGATCGCGGGTTTTACATATATTAAGAAATTTATAAGCAATTAAAGTTAGCGCAAAGCCTTTCTTTGGTGTCAAAGTTGAAAAGTTTGTAAACTCAATCAGACCTAGTCTTGCATGTGATCGCATTAAATGGATAGTGTAGTGGGATTTTAATATTAAACTTTAAGACGTAGAGTGTCTTGTATACAAATATTGCACTTCTGTTTGTATATTGTGAGTGTTTCCATAAAATGGTTGACGATGATAGTTAAAAAAGTTTTACAAAATTGGAATAAAAGGACACTATAATGGAATCAAGGGCAAAAGCGCTGTCGATGGCGCATGAAATAATACTTCGGCGAATTGGTAATTTCAGTTTCATAATTATATAAAAATATTGTACATGTATTAACTAAAGACAGAGAAAGTTTGTATTTACATTTGGGTTTTCTTTTTGCGTACCTCATTTAAATTTATTGTTATTATAAATTTTTAATCTTACATCGAAAATCGATATATTTTTATTACTAACACATCACCCGGGAACAAATATAAATTCAGCAGCTTCTAGTCAAAACAAGAATGTTAATAATTTAAATGTAAAACCATTGTTTATATGAAAGGGACTCCACTGAGATTTTTTGACATGGCGGGACTGGATTTTTCTTTTCGAGATAAATTCTCCATTTAATGTATTAAACGTTCAGACCAATCACTTTTATGCAAATTTCAGATCATTCGCTTGCAACAATAATTTGATTGTTACAAATGACCCAAAAGCGAAAAGCGTTGCAACGCTTTTCACTCAAATCGGGCTTAGAATATCACAAAAATATAATTTTCAATTTATTTTTGAGTATATTTCTGTATCATCTTTTGCAAATCTTTCTGTTTTAAGTGCACCTGCTCATCTATGTAAGAAATTTAAATTCCATGTTTTTAGGCTTTTGGACCTCAGTGGAGTTCCTTTAAAGCAGAAACACGTTTATGATCATTGTAATATGTACATGATATGTTTAAAGTAAAATTTAAAAAAATGCCCTGCATTGTGACCAGGTCTATGTTGTGAGCCAGGGGCTGATGGTTACGTCAGTTACATAGATTTTAGTATGTCTGGCGCCAAAACTAAAAAGAAAAATTCGATTTAAAATTGAGATGTACTCGTAAACGAGACACGATGTCTTCAATATAATTTCTTCATTTATATAATCCAGTAAGTCTTTAATAAAATAATGCAATAAAAATGTCATAGTGGTTTCAATATAGAAATTGCATTAGAACTAGAGGCAAAAATATGGCACCTTCACTAATATGACAATATCATTGCTATGGAAACAGGAAAAGGACAGTCATTGTTGATTTGCCATACATGAAAAACCACAAATTTGTAACTTTTTTTTATTTTCTAATGCCAATATTTAATCCTCGACAGGCCATTTAAATGCGTATCATTATCAAATAATTGGATATGTTCCAAGAGATTGGTCAGTGGGGACTTTAAAAATAATCTGATTTATTTAATAATATATTTCTGTTTCAGTCACCTCTGATCCTTATTTAACAACTTCTGAAGGGGAAATCAAAATATACAACGTAATCTGACCACAATCCATAACTACAAAAATGATAATTTTCCTGTACATTTGAACATGCTAATATATAAAACTTGTGTGGTAACATGTGTATATTCAATGATTTGAGAAAATACCAAGTTAGTAGTAATGATTCGTGTATAAAAGTGAAGACAATTTATTCAAAGCAACGTTCATAAAAAAATTTAACTCAGAAGGAAAACAAAAATGGTTTGTCGATATCCAATACCCTATTCAATCATTATCGGCCTGTGTTGTAACAATTTAAAAATAACGAATTAATAAATCGTTTGTCAAGTATAAAGCAATGAGTCGACCGACACAACTGTAAACAAAGTACCGTAATAAGGTTTCTTTAAGTAAATACAAGTGTTTTGCTTAGTTGTTTTAGAATATGATATTTTTACCAGAAAAGCGATTAGAAGCAAGTTATCCCTTTATCCATTCAGAAGATATTTTAATATTTATATGGGACGCTAGATCTGTGTGTGTCCATGACATAATGGTTTCAGTTGCGACTTGTTAAATGGAAAACATGTGCACTCGTATTTGTCGAAAAATTTGTTTTAATAAACTGTTTAGTGCAATGTATTATTTGTCTTAAAGAGAAGTATAATGTACTTTTGTTTATGCATACTATTTTTGTGCTTCAGGGTCAGCCATGGCGACTGGTGGTACAGTAATGGCGCCCGGTGATAGGACTGATTCTTCCAGGGTAAGTTTCCGCCGGTACATTACACGTGTTTGTTCAATAGTTTATCAATATTGTTTATCTAAATATATTAACAGTTCGTTATCTCAAAATGCCTCGTATGTTGACAACGACATTAGCCGAAATCAAGTTGAACAAAACACTATGATTTTTGAAAGGTCTTAGGCATAAATAAAACATTTAAATGTATTATTTCGCAAAATACAATCTTAATATATCTCTTAAGATAAAATTAAAAAAAAAAGTTATTATAATTGTACAATTTTAGGACAAACTTGGTATTCAAGGTCATGGCTTAATGACAACTCGTTCCCAAGATGGTTCCCTCGGTCTTCCATCCAACGAGCCATCGCCGTCCGTTTCCCGGCCTTCAACGGCTACTTCCGGTGAAAGCCCTGCGGACGGAATAAGCAGTATTTCTATGCCTCCAGAAGCTGTTGGTGTTTTAGAAACCGTGATCAATATGAATAAAGCATTAGAACAACAAATAGATACTCTAAGAATGAGATTGACTGTTGAATCAAAGAATCATGACACTGAAAAATATAAAATCATTAAGGAGAAAGAGAAGGAAATAGATAAAAAGGAATCTGAAATAGATGATTTAAAAGATTCATTGGTTCATAGAGATGAAAGGGTGACATGCTTAGTTAAAGAAGCACAAGTAAAGGACTTTCAAATTCAGCAAAAAGAGAAAGAAATAAATGATTTAAAAGAACTTGTAAAACAAACAGAAGGCTACGCAGAGCAGTTACAGAAACGAGTAGGAAGGCTAAAAGATGATAAACATAAATTAGAGACTGAAACTGGTTATAAGGAGCAAAGCGAAGAAATACGAAAGCTTAAACATGAAATAGTGTCAATGAAGGAGAAAGTGACAATAATGGAAAAAGAACTTGGTAAGGCAAGAAATATTATAGATCAGCAAAATACAAAAATAAGTGGAATGGAAGCTGAAAAGGGTGCTATGAGTGAAAAGTTTAAAGAGGAACTCGAGAGAGCGAGTAAAGCTATGCGATCGGAGGTTGAACGGATGAGAGAAGTGATGAAACAGCAGTATATGGAAATGAGGAATTTACGCGAACAAAACATTGAAATTTCAAGTGATGTAAGAGACATTAAAGACATTCTGTTAAACGGTACACTGAAAAAGGAACCGGAAATAAAAACAAAAACTACGGAAAAAATTGATGTTAATAATTTCAAATCACCTCGTCCAATGCACAAAAGTCCAAACTTTGGAATGCGGATGCCTTTGACGTCACGACAGGCTCCAGCACCGAAACTAAACTCAACGGTTCGAACATCGATGCCTTCGATGTCGACTACGCGAGGACAAACACAAGGGAAGGCACAAAGTTTGCCGCCAATATCAAAAGCCAATGAAACGACTACAGGGAAGTGGATACCAGCAGGAGGAACGCATCGGCAGGCAACACTAAACGTTCGTTCCGCCAAGGGTGGCAGACGATAACTCGCAAGGAATGTTTAAATAATAATGAGGTGTTTTAGAACGGGTTTGGCAAATTGCTTAATGCTAAATAGAGTCCGCTTCGATTTTTATACTGACGACCGCTAATACTAGATTAGCAAAGTGATCTCATAGAGAAATTATCTGCTCTCTTGTAGTTTGTGAAACGTTTGAACACATTTTTGAGTGTAAACTTTGGAGTAAGAATGGATATTGCTTGTCTGATGAAACAACAGATTGCCAGACAGTAAAATAGACATTTCCTTAATTATTTCAGGGTTTTAAACTTATCAAGATTGCCATTCATTATCATCCCTTCTTGTATGATCACTTCAAGTGACGTCATCATTTATGGAAACTGATTCCTACGCTTTGCTAGCAAGTTTGTTCCAATGGCACATTGAAATTTTATAATATTGTTTTGTTAATGTCTGAAAACAAATACATCCAAGGAACGAAAGACAAAGTTTGCATGCTAAGTTCTATATATCGACATGTAATCACGGAACGTTATCATGATTTGCTGCTAAAGAACAGTAAAACGAAGCCCAATCTGACCTAAGTTCAGATCTACTTATTTCTTACAGTGTAGCGTTTTAGAAGCTGGTCAGATCAGATTGAACGAAACCAACGTGGAAACGGGTAACCAAGTGCATTCTGGAAATTCATTATCATACTGGAATTTTAACCTGTGATATGTCATCAAGCGTTCTGTGATATCACGTGACATAATGAAGCGTTTCATTCTGTAAATGGCATATACAGTGCCAAGTTTGACAGATAATATTTCATGCCAGGTGACACTTCTGGCACATTTAGTTCTTTTTATTATGGTTTTAATTGCTTGTGTATATTTATTAAAATGTTTTGGCATTAAAACAGCTATGTTAAATATCTCTTGAATTGTTGAATTAATACTGGTATACCTAAAATGACTAACAGCATATTCACAAGGTGTTCGCATGACACTTGGTTATACAGAATACATGATGGCAATGCGTGCACTGATGGCTTTCCTAACGTCATACATGTAAATCATTAAAATCAGAAAGCAGCTTAGTAGTATCCCCACGACGATTGTGCATGCACCTTCTCACAGGACACAGTACAATGTCACTACCAGTTTTTGAACCACAGTCATGAGGTATAGGTGATACAAAGTCAGCAACATAATCATCTTGTGTCGCCTCTTCAGAGTAGTGGCGAAATATAGTGATCACTTCTCCGTCGTCTGTCTGTCCATCTGTCACAAAACTTGTCAGGACTACTCCTCATAAATAACTGGTGCAATTTCATCCGAACTATACAGGAATGATCAGTACCAATTCTAACGCATTTTCCAGTTCAATGATTTTTGTCAGAGTTATGGCCCTTTTTTAAGTTTGTCCGAACTACTCCTCTTATCCCACTAATGCAATTTCAATGAAAACTTTACAGGATTGATCTGTAGCTCAAGTCCTTGTGCATATTGCATGGGTTTTCCTGTTGAATGAATTTTGGCCGAGTTATGGGCCTTGAATAAAATCAAAGTGCTGCAGCACTGAATGCGACGGACATGCAACCGGGGAGACAATTAGGGGTTTTTTAGAAAAAAAAAATAAACACAAAATATATAACAGAGAAAATTTGTTCCATACAAGGAGCAATATATTTTGTGTCCCAATCTGATATAATCCAGATTTTCTACTTTCAAGCAGAATGAAATATATGCCTAAAACCCTGGTCAAACTTGTAAATCAGTGTCATCATCGATTTATTCCAAGAAATGATATGTAAATGGAAAAAAAAACTTTCAACGAAATATTTCTAAAATAAAACCATGCAAATAGACTTCAAGCATAATACATTATACCACGGATAAATCCGTGATTATACATGTGAGAATGTTATTTAGAATTGCTTCGTGTTTTAACATAGCGGGCATATAGACAATAAAATATAAGTCATTTGTATTTTTATTTCTTTTGGATATGTACGTCTCATTAAAAATATTTTTGGTTAAAATCATCAGCAATTAATAGTCACTGTCTTTTTTTAGATTTTTTTTATTTGCAAGGGCCAGAGCACATCGTTTTTATTTTAATCTAAATGTCACAATTTTTTTTAAAAGCACTATAGTGTTTAGTTGTCCTTTTCATTTTCACACTAAATTACATTTTCAACTTGTTTGCTTCTTACAATTGTATAAAATTTCTAAAAGTATTGCATGTGAACAAAGTAAGTATCCGCTGGTTTATAACATGTATAATGTGTACTCCCTACTGTCCGAAAATCAGCACAGGTAAAGCAGAATCTAGTTTTAGAATAGCGAAGGTTAACTCATATCGTGACCTAGAAAATGTATCTAATTTATTAATAACTGCTGAATATTCAGCTAAATCCGCGGTATGAGTCACGAAAATAGCTCTTCGATCTTTTATTAATGCGCGAGTTATTCTAGAGTCCAAAAATCTTTTGATTTGTTAATAATAATGTTTTGTATAATGTAGAAATATTTATTTCCTACTAATAATTTCTTGGAACTCAGAGCTTACACCTTTATTATAGTATAATTTGCTGTCCTACTTTTTCGACAGCGGTAAATCGTTTCGGCAGTAATTTGCATAATTGCGCAATAATACTACGGGACTACAACGTTTTTATCAATCATATACGTCCATATTTTAACTTGGATAACTTAATTTGAAATTGAAAAGGCTAAATATGGAAGATTTTAAGATATATCCCGACATAGTATGGGAGTTTTAAAGGATCAAATTCATGTACTTTTTCTTGGGCTGTTAATCGGTTGAGGACACTTTGCGCGAGTGTAGCAGACGAAATCCCATGTAGATGACTTAGCTCTGAACGCGCCTGAGGGCGCGTCCGTCGCAAAAAGATGTTTTATTGTGTGTTGCCAGATAAAAGCTTGTCCAGGCTACTTCTCAAACACTACTGTTGCAATTTCATTCTAACTTTAGAGGAATGTTTAGTACTAACTCTAGTTGTGCATATGGGGTTTTCATGGTCCAATGAATTTTGTCGGAGCTATGGCCCTTTAATAATTTAATTTATTTTTTAAAGTTTATCCGGACGACTCGTCTTATACTACTAATGAAATTTCTATGAAACTTTACAAGATTGATTGGTAGGTAACGTACTTGTGCATATTACACGGTTTTCAGCTTGAAAATTTTTGCCCAGTTATGGCCCTTGAAAGAAAAGGGTGTTAATAAAGTGTGTCAGGACTCCTCTTATGTCACTAATGCAATTTCAATGAAACTTTACACGAATGATTGGTAGGTCAAATACTTGTACATAATACACACGTTTACAGCTTGGTTATTGCCATTGAATATAAAAGGTGTTTTTTTGTATGTTGCCAGCTACACAGAAGTTTGTCTTGACTACTCGTGCAATTTCATAACTTTAGGGGAATGATCAATACCATGTCTCAGTGTCTAATTGAGCATCTCATCAATATTTTTCGGTTCATTGATGTTTGTTAGAGTTATTTTAGTTTTGAAATTTTTCCAGACTACTCCAGTTATACCACTCATGCAATTTCAATGAAACTTTACAGGATTGATTGATAGCTCACATTCTTGTGCATATCACACAGGGTTTAAGGTTGAATGATTTTTTTTGCTGAGTTATGGCTATCGTGAGGCACACATTTGATCAATGATCGAGATAGTTTTGAAGTCTACAAATTTGAGAATTTGACAGTAAACAAACTTAAGAGCTATATAAGACTTGTATACCTAGACAGTAAAACTCTTGTTTAAGACCACCTGTAAGAATAACCCTGGAAATAAAAGCCGTTTTTTGATAATCCTTTCTTGATAATTTGGAACAAAAATAACTTCAGATATAGAAAGGCCATATTTTGTCTTTCCATTAGGTGACCCTCACAGGTTTGACTATAGAGGCTGTAACACAAATTTACACCAAAATGTAGTCAAGAACTGTTGAAATATTAGCAACACTTATTCCTCAAAGCAGACTCATTAACTTCAAGTTCTACACATAAGTGTAATTGCATTACTTGAGTTTTGACAGGACTTTAAAACAAAATAATTTCACATAGAGATGCTAATTACTGGTAGAACTGTCTTTTTTCCAACCAGGGAAACCATCATAATTTGTCAGGTTAGAGCAGAAACCTGTTATCTCCTATTAAATCTAACTGGAGTTAAACCTTTACTGTACAAAGGGAAAGCAATGTTTCTGGTATAAAATGATAAAGCAAAGCAACATACAATAATAGTTTAATAAGTTTATTATGAATCTTTGTGAATTTTTACAATGTATTATCTGTCACACTTATATATATATATCAACTAAACATACATAATCTAATGGACCCATATATCAATTGACCACTTGCTATTTCCACCATTCAATTAACCAACAATGTAATTCATATCTGTTCCATAATGACAATTTCCCATTCCATTTATGTTACTGAAGTCTGTATAATTCCTTCACTGTCAATTTTGCTGGATATTGATGACCTGTTATTTGTATAACCATATATTTAACCACAAACATTGACATGTACTCTTTTGTTAAGAAATATGTTGTGGTGACCACTAATCAGATAATTAGATTTGAACAGATCAGGGATCTATGCAGTTAAAACACCAAGAATTAGTGCTGGTCAATTCCATTTAAAAAAACAGGAAAAGTCGGTTAAATATCAGGAAGCAATTATTATAATTCGTCACCTTAGTGCAGTAACGTGTTAACTCCTTATATAATTCAAATGGAGTTAACTTGTTACTGCAATAAGGTGATGATAAAGCTGTCAATAATGTTTCTTTCATCAAAGACACAGTGATCAGGCACATTGTTGGGGTAGAGAGAAAAAAAAGTACATTTTTAAAATTGATTCTTTTATACTTTCTAAACGTTTTGCAGGGGTGCCTTGTTACCATAGTTTCGTTAAATCAATACAACATTTACTCAGACATATTGTTTACACATGTATATATCACTACCATAAATTTGCCGGTAACCAGTTCAGGGTACCAGTGTTTTAAAAATATATAATATTATAATAATATAAATATCAACATTGAATTGTATAACAATCCCAATATATAAACTGTAACAACAATCATGTACATGTACATTAACATAAAAAAGAAACATTTACTGTACTGACTGTACTTCATTATACATGTACATTTGCATGTACATTTGTAATAAATTATAAAATAAATTATAAACCATTTTTTACCCAAATCTTAATTACTTGTATACTTTTGGACAATTTGGCAGTTAGACTCTATGTTTAGTATACTACATTTAACAGTGACATGTGGTAAACAATAATTTTGCTGTGAGTTGGCAATATATGGGAAAAGAGCCCGATAAGTTCTCGTGAAAATCTTAACAAAATGAAAATTGATATGAAAATAACAATGACTGATAAAAAAAAAAGTTAATAAGATCTCGTAACTTGTTTCTACTTTATGGGGCTATTATAACATAACAGAATACCGGTATATGAGGAATGAAAATAAAGAAAATTCATATGCAAATAAAAAAATAATCAAAATAAATATTGAAGCTATCTAAACTAAATCAAAACCCTCATTATACTGTAAATTTCTATCTTTTAAGTTAAGTATATACATAAGTTTATCTTTGACAGGCACAGAAATCATGTAATAGGGTCAAGGTTGAAGGGAAATTTAGTTAAACTATGAACACAGCTGTAATATAATAATGCTTGCCTCACCTGCCAGTATATAACTGTCTGTAACTTAATCACGTATCTTTTTCTGTTTGGTCAGGTTTTAAGTCACACCGACTCTGTAATGATCATACAGTGACTTTCCAGCTTTACTGGTGGAGGAACACCTCAGGTACCCTCTTTGCATTATTTCAGGCACCAGAGGGTAACCAAATATACCCACCAATGTTCTATAAACTAGCTGGATAGCTTCTTGACATGATGCAATACAAAGACACTGGCAGGATTTGAACCCACAGCAGTAAGGGGCAAGTGGTTTGAAGTCAACAACCTTAACCACTCAGCCATGGATGCCCCAAATTATCAATCTACAATTTCATACTGAATCCCATTTAAGTGACAGCCTTGTCACAATGCATACTTCTATAATTACAGAAAGATATGCCTATTACACAAATTCAGCTAGGCAAGGATTAATATTTAGCAAATAAGGCAGTCAAACAAACTGATGATTGCTAGATTCACACGCTAGTTTTCTGACAAGATTACGTCTACCGTTGGAATCGTGTCAAACCAGTTGTCACCTGATACAAGTGTAACCAGGCGGGACCGACAACAACTGCCAGTCAAGAATGTTTAGATCGCGACAAAAAATATAAACATAGCAAAATAACCTAAATGAAATATACCCTCTAACTGAATTTTGGCACCAGTTATAAATACATAATAAAAAAAAATTTACAGTCTTGAATAGTATGGTGCAAAATAAAAAAAAATAATAAAAAAAGATTTCAATAAATAGACCACATATGAGAAGTTTAGTAAAGTATGTAAAGTTCCATTTAAGATAACTGTTGAATCATTTAAATAACAGCTGATATTAAATAACTTTCTGCAATCATAAATTTATCACACAATGCCACAAATATCACAACTGTCTGGAATTTAAGTCTTTAAATTGAAAAAATTTTTTTTTCAAAGAACAGATAGGAATCAGAACTGGAATTTTCTAGATTATGTCAAAATTAAAGCAGTGGTACACTGTAATTAAAGATAACAGGTACAGTTACATTAGAGCACATACATTTATGGCTTAGTCCCTGCCTACCACCTTTTTTTAAAATAGAAACTTGATGATAATGCGATTTTAAAAATAATAATTTGGTTACTTAGAGTTGCCAGGGGCCGAGCAAAGTTAGGATGGGGGTATCCTGACCCTCAAAGTGTCAAGTGTATGACAGACAACACAATATGCTGCAAGTGAGAACCTACACTACAACATTGCACAATAAGAGAATGTGGAGCCTGCACTAATACATTCATTACATCTGTTTCTATTTACATTGTATGTATAATGTAAAATTGCATAACATTTGTCAAAGTCATAATAATTATTATGAGCTGCGCCATGACAAAACAAACATAGTGCGTTTGCGACCAGCATGGATCCAGACCAGCCTGCGCATCTGCGCAGTCTGATCAGGATCCATGCTGTTCGTTATCAGTATTTCTACTTGTAATAGGGTTTGTAAGCGAGTAGCATGGATCCTGATCAGACTGCGCGAATGCGCAGGCTGGTCTGGATCCATGCTGGTCGCAAATGCACTATGTTGGTTTTGTCGTGACGCGGCTCATATGTCTTTTGTACAAGTGATCATGATTCAGGCATGAACATAAAATATCTGGACAAATGTATAGACATAAACACACTTTTTCATTTAATATAAAACATGTAATAACATTAAACATGGTATAACAACTGCTTTGCAGAAAAAAAACTTTCACTCATTACCAATTCTTATTTTTTTTCATTTCTAGCACAATCAATACACAGAAGTAGATACATGTAGCACCGTGAGTGCATTAAAACTGTTTGTTTTTATACATTACACTGATGTAAATTAGATATTGTGAACTTATGATTCCTTTTTTTTATAAACATCAAGAATATTAATTTTGCAAAAAAGAAAAGAAATACAAATAAATTTATAACAAATTTGATTTGTATTTTAAAACCACAAAGAAAGTTTATGTCAAAAATGACCATTTTACCATAAAAATCTAAAATTTGAATATCGTAAATTTTAAAAGCTTGCCTATAATTCACTTTGGAAGAATATTTTTAAAGAAAAAACCCTAGAAAAATTATTTCATGACATTTATTTAAATGAATCTCCAGCTCACAAATGCTTACAGATTAATCAGGTTAAAAAAGTATGAACAGAAAAGAGTAAAAGTGTTATTTAGTCAAGTAGACACAATCATGTATCTTGGGTATTAAATTGAAAAAAAAAAATTAAAAAAGACCTCTATTTTTTGAAACAATGATACAAATACACAAAAGTAAATAATTAATTGTTTTATAAGAGATTTAAGCACCAAAAATTAGCAGCTATTAACACAAGATAACCTTTAATATATCTATGCATAAGTTATATACATGTTTTTTTTTTAACTTTATATCAACTGTTCTTCCTTACAACAATTCTGTCATTATTCACTATTAAAGGCACAATATGCATCAGAAGCGAATATTTTTTTCCTTCTAAAGAAACAGAAAACATTAAAACCTCTAGATAATGGTGTTAGATTATGTGACATGATAAACATCTTTAGAAAGTTGCGCTGAGCTTGAAATTATTGGCCGATTATTAACTATTTGGAAATTATAACAGGGATACCACAAAAAAGCTTTCGAGATAAAAAAATAAAAGCCTTTCTGAGGCATAATGGGCCTTTAATATAACAAACATGTAGTCAGCCTTAAAAAGACAAGTTTTGGCTATTTTCATATCTTACCTACTAAGATTTAGTTTTCAATATCACATCCGAAACAAGAGAATGCCTAATCTTAATTCTTACAGTAAAAGATTTTTTTTAGAAAAGCTATAAAAAACAACAAATTGTCACCTTAGTGCATTAATGGGTTAAATCCTACTGAATTTTAAGAGAAGCTAAAAAGTTACTGCACTAAGATAACAAAATAATAATGAAGTAACACTTACATTTAATTTTCTCAGAAAAACATATAAGGAAAAAAATTCTTTAAATTATTTAAGCCATATTTTCTAGTGAAAAGAGTTTGCATTTAATACTAATTCCTTTTTATGTTCCTTCCAAACAATATCTCCAGACATAAAACAAAATATTTTACTTTCACATTCTGATAACTATTTCTTGCAAAAAAAATAAATAAGACTGTAGCCAACAAACTTTTAAAACAAGTTAAAATAGTTATGATTAGTCGACCACATTCAATAACAGTTCTAGTGATGATGGTTCCAAAACATTACGTGAGAGTTTTATCTTGTGACAGTTCCGTAACATTCCCCGCCCCAACGGTTTAACCTTGTGACAATGTAAGCCAATATTACTATCATGTAATAATCACTATGCATCCATTCCTTGTACGCTAACGAAATAGATTCAAACATCATGTCACAAATATCACTCTTATCGTATCACATCATATCCTAGTATCATATCACAAAATAATGAGTCATCAAGAAGTTCTGTCGGGATGAATTATTCCCGATTTGAGTCCAACGTGAATGAAAAACTTTCTGAGAATAGATCGCAACTCGTACTTTAAGTCATAGTTCATCGTGTCACACATCAGGGCATAATAATGGGAGGCATGTACTCGGAACTGAAATGTAAAAAAAAAAAATGTGTGAATAACTCAAATGAAAATTTTAATACAAAATCCAATGAACTCTTTACATTAAGTAAATGTCACATAATTATCTTCCACTCTGATTATACCCTCCTTTTAATTGCAATAACATTTACCCTTTAGCAAGTAACAATTTTTAGGATGAAGACAATTGTCCAACTAAAAACTGTAGTGACCACCTAAATGGGCACTTTTACTTTTTTTTGGACTGCTAAAATATAAGAGGTGCATAACCACTTATATATTTTACAAAATGATCAAATATAAAAATGCCAAGCTAGATTATGACCCATAGCACTTGTTGACAACTTATCTGTGAAAATTCAGTTGAAATCCCTTTTAAAAGAAGAGTTATGAAAAAAAATTTCATTCAGTCACTCAGCCATCAACATAAAGATTTATTTTTTTTAGTTTGAAAAACTGGGTCACTTTTGTTGTCATTGCTCATGAAATTCTTTCTAATGTCATTCACACTGTACTTCTGCTCTGGAATGTACAGAATATATTAATTCCTTGTGAAAGTGAAGGCAACTAGTACAAGTAAATTTCTTAATAGCTTGCCCAGGAACAGTGCAGTGGCTCTGGTAAATTCATTGTGGCTTACTGCCGTGATCCAGAGTGAAAACTACCAACACCACCAATCTTGAAATTTATAACTGTATAACAAGACCAGTATATATATATATATTTACCCTATCATCAGACATCTTTAGGAGTCTTGTAATAAGTAGAATAATTATATTACTCCAGGCATCTCTGTGACTGTCCGATTGTAGCGAGAGAAAATACTCCAATGAACTGTGACAAATACTGAAATAATTAAAGCACAATTATTATCTTATTGTTTAAGTACCTCTAAAATGTACAAACACAACTGCTTCCAGGTGTACTGGGAGATTTATTTACTTTCAATGCAAGTGAAGTTACCTAGCTACACAGAATTATGCTACCAAGAAATTCAACTCTGTGCTTATAACAATTACAGCCCATCCTTAGATAATGAACAAATTTTAAATAATTTCTCAATCTTCAATGAGGGTTTGATATAAATAAAACCATCAAAAATGCATGACGATTTGAACTACAAGACCTTTGAAGTGTACAGAGTAACAGTTCATATAATCAAATCCATAAAACTACATTGTAATGCTGTCAACATCTTAGAGTGCTTTTCATTATTTAAAGATTTTCTAAATGTTCCCTAATTTTTGTTTACCTTTACAAATACAGAAAAACTGAATCCCTAACGAACACCCAAAACAACAAAATTGTAAATGTTGCAGGCTCGATGAGTCTGTTCAAGGACAGTGTTACTGTCCATGCCCCTAGCACTGATGTAAGCAGAATTCAGCATTTAAACACAAAAATTATAAGATTTAATTCCTAAATGTATTTTGACTCTTTCAAGAAGATTATCAGTAACTTCACCTTGTAATTTTCTGTTTTTTTGGCACATTTTCTGAAAAGTATTTTAGCGTGCTTACCTTATAAGTTTGTTTTCCACGTCAGGCCAAGCGTCTTTTCGTGCCTCATCATTATACATTCTGAACAATATCCTAAACAAACATGCTAAACTCTGTGTTTCCTGTTTTAAAAGATTCGGCTTTGCTTTCCCTTTGAAACCTGAAAAAATGAAAAACAAAAACCGTTAAGTTATCTTTAGCAATCTCTCTGATATTCTCATTCAAAAATTTCAAATTATTTCTTTTTAATTCCTCTTACTTTTTGCGAAAAACAAGAAAAGAATTTGATCTACTCAGCAAGGTAAATGTGAACATTGATGAATCAGAACTTTTATGTCCATAGTCCACTTTTATCCTTAAAAAAGCAGACAAATAATTTTGTTCAATTAAATAAAGGGCAAAAATTAGTTGTTTATTAATTGAAAATATCAATCCCTGTAAAACTTTTTCTAATTTTTTTTCTTGTTTTTGGGTCAGTACTAATTTGTTACAGAATCTAAAGAAAATTATATACCAGTAAGTATACAAGTGTAGCTGGATTCTTATCCAGTATTGACCACTTTCTGTACATTTTTTCCATTTTTTTCCAATAAATTATGCACCAGTAAATAGTAATCTTGATTGCCAGGATAGTTTTGGGATAACAGAGGAAGCTTTAACCTTCCCTTTTTCCAACCACTACCTGGTAAATGATTTTTATTCAATTGAAAAATAGCTGGGGATATGTCCATCTTGCAGTGCATGGGTATTTTGTGGAGTTTTAGGTTATTAGTGGAGATTTTTACCATCTAACCATATGCATTCCCAAAGGGCAGGGCCTTTACCGAGGTTTTAATAATCCAAACGTCAAAGTCATTGATACCTAATCTCCACCCACCCCTGGTAAAATGAGGGATTTTGACTTTACCTTATTTATGATAAACCTACTATGGAAAACAAAGGGTGAAAAAAACCCCAAAACATTTGTATTATCCTCAAACAAATTGTTACAGTAAAATCTTAACATGGTGATTCAAAGAACTTAATAACAAACTTATACCTTACAGTATCCCAATTTGAATATATAACCCATGTGGAATTTTAAGATGAAGTATATACAAGGGCAATAACTCAGAAATATTTTACGTACCTATTGTGTTTATCATTTTTACATTTGTTTCATTATCTTGACAAGGTTATAGAGTTAAGTTAAGGAAAAGATGAGAATCAAGCAGATGGTTTGGGGTTATATGGATTCTACATGGGTCAAAGGCAAAACCCTGGTAATGAGGCAAGGTACATGTAGCTGGAGACACTTAAAGGCTCCAGGTATCAAATATGTGTTTTAAGTGCTAGACAACTGCACCTTGTAAGTAATGTTTTCTAACAATAGTAACAGGATACTTTATTTAAATTGTATGATTGGTGTGACATTTTCATGCTTGGATTTCAGATTCAATTACATATTAACATTTTGAACAATTTTTTCCCCAAGGAACATTATGTATGACTGAAATTATTTCATCTCCAATACAGAGAGTATTGACTAACTCTTACATTAAAATATTTGAGCACATTATATACAACAAAATGATCAAATTGTGAAAGAACAATAAAACAAAAATCAAGATGATTACTGGACCTCAATGAGTAACATGTGTCTTGGAGTATTCTTAAATACAGAAAACAACACCACATATGGATTACTTGGTGCACAATAGCACTTATTCTGTGTGTTACCAATATGTGGTAACTTTTACACTGCTCAATTTGTATACATTACTTGCCATACTTTGAATGTGGAATTAATCATAGTTTATATAGAGGGGAGTTAACTCTTAATATCAATAAAAGAAGCAGACACAAATTATAGGACCTGGTCAAGCCGCATCCATGTGAAAACAGGAATTTGCTTTATACTGGAAGAATAGGCAAAACATCAACACCAACAGCATTAATATAATATTATACTCTCTCAGCCTTTATTCAAAGAGTAGAAAAAAAGTCAACTAAAAATTAACACAAAGTAATAACAAGAACAAAATAAAACTTTAACCTGGAATACAATATAAATCAAAAATCAACCACAATGTATAAATATTCCAAAAATACATATCCAAAGCCACTGAGAAAGCACAATTTGACTTTGTTCCACTAATAACCCTTATTATAATTATCCCACAGAAATAATAGAAAACTGAAGATCAAAACAAAGAAACTGTACCCTCTTCCTAAAATATTTCAGTTTTTATAAGTCAGTATATACATTGGAATACCTTCACACGGAAATATCAATAACTTATCAAAATACATCATTTCATTCAACCCCTTACTACATATTCAGCATAGAGCACTCAGCAGGAAACTCATTTTGCATATTTAAAATCTTCACTATCTTATTTATCATTCTGTCAACGATATGATATTTTAAAACATAAATTACACTGACAATGAAAAATGAAAATGTTACAAAGGACTCTCATGCCGGACATATTCTGCTAAGCAGACAGGCAAAAGCTTTGAATGGTTTCAACTTATGTTCTATAAATAGAATCTGTTCTAAAAATAGAATATATATTTTATAAATAGAATATATTTTACAAATAGAATATATTCTATAAATAGAATATATTCTATAAATAGAATATATTCTATTAATAGAGTATGTTCTAAAAATAGAAGAAAGACTGTATAAGTTCATGCACCAATTTGGAAGCTAGCACATAAGACATGCTCCCACAATGTGTCCCATAGAGGTTCCCAAAGGGGTTATACTTACTAGAATTGACACAGAAACCTATTAATAGATTTATATACATGTCAAGCTATGATGAAAATTAGACACTCGAGCACGAAAACTGTAAACAATTCGTATTATTTGAATTTCAACAACCATGCTTTTTTTGTGATTCCAAATTACTGCCACCATTAGCATTTGTGAAATTATTTTCTGTCCCAAGAACATCCATGCTTAATTGATTTTTCAAAATATAAATGCAAAGTTATTGAAAGAAATTGTTAGAATTTTCAAATGTTTAAAATCTTGAATAGTATGAAATTAGAAGTCTATAGATAGCATGTTACCAATAATGCATTTGAAATGAGCAAGCTACAATAACAAGAACCCCCACAATGCATCTGGTTTAAACAAGCTTCATATATACCCATAATGCATTTCATTTCAACAAGCTACAGCATTTAATTTTATGTTTGAAAGCTTTAGAAGCTAGTAATGAAGAATTTTCTCCAAGATTAGAAATCAGTGACAGCAGATAAATAATGCAATGCTTTGAGTATAGTGTATGACCATAAACTGATTTGCATATCTGATTATTCAAAATGTGCAGCAAAGTCTAGTTTTAGAAATTCTATTTTTAGACCTAGCTTGCCCTAAACCAATACGCAAAAGCAAATATATACCAGCTTTCCAGAGAAGATTCCTCTGTTCATGGTTGGAATTAAAATCTTTTGCAAAAGTGTGAGACTCTAGCAAACAGTCAACCAGTTTGAAGAGTTGATCAGAGCTAAGGAAGTGGTACATTCCCTGATCCTCATGGTTATGACTGTGGTCCAGATCTACCGTTACTTCCACTTCACTCTGTGAGAAAAATATCATAATCTTAGTAAGTCTCATCAATAAAATACTTTTATCCAAATAGTACTAGTATTTAGTGTGTGTAAGATATAAACTTATATAATCATTGTAACTCACTGTTTATAACTCAAAGTCCAATTTACTGCTTTTAATCAAACAGTTCAAAATCATATCTATTTGTTGTTTTGAAGTCTGGTATCATTAATATGTAATCATATATTACATGTATTTGACCAGTCACATTCACCCCCATAACATTTATCCTACTCTTAACTCCTAGACTATGTACTTGGACTAACTTCTCCTATGGTATTAGTCCTAAATACATAACTTGGATCCCAGACATTAAATGCAAAAAAATAATGTAATTTTTATACAATATAATTAGCTACAGATAGTAAAAACAAGCCTGCAATCATTCAAACAATCACAATGTTGTTGGTGCCCTTGTAATATGCCAAAACATGTATGGTTGCATGACTGAATGGTTAACACATCAGACTAGTCATCTAAGGAGCTCTAGCAGCGTGGGTTCAAACCCTGTCAGGGGCAAGCTTTTGATTTCCTTGAACAAGAAACTTTACACTCATTGCTCAGTATTGGTTGGTTCCAGGAATGGATAAGAGAACAGTGTTTCTTTATTAAGCTAATAGCTTCCTACACAAATAAAATTAAAATGAATATTGCATAATCTAATTAAGCCAAACATCATCAAACTAGCCCAAAGTTGTTAAAAAAACCCAAAGTGTTTTATATAGAACATATTATACCTGAGCTGCAGCTAGGTTTTCAGCATCTTCCTTCCTGCTTGTTGTAGGGAAGAAGACAATATTGTCTATGGTCTGTATCAACTCTAGCTGGACAACACACTTAATTAGTAGGCACTGAAACAACTTCTGGTCTGTAAACACTTCTGTAAACATATTAATAATGTATATTACATACTGTAGTATGATATACCTACGTGTATGTGTAAGGTAAACTTTCTGTGAAAATTCTTATTATACATTATCAAGATATGTGTACAAGTGTATGAAACAATAGCTGTCAGTGGGACCACGGGCTGGACTATTATCAGTGCTTGATAGCTAAACAAGAGCCTGGATAATGTAAAGTTCAAAAGGGCCATAATTCTATCAACATCCATGTTACAGTTTTGGGCCTATTATGTTCTCAAATAAGTTATAAATGTGATAAACATACTTTTATGTGGAATCTTATGGTCCCTGGAAAGTTATAAATGTGATAAACATACTTTTATGTGTTATCTTAAAGTCCCTGGAAAGTTACAAATGTGATAAACATACTTGTACGTGGTATCTTATGGTCCCTGGAATCTGCTGATATAGAACTACTGACACTATGGTTACTGTCAGCCCTGTATAATCTACTACGAGTGTCATGTGTCTGGTCTAAATTCATCCCCTCCAATCCTCCATTCATCTCCTCAACTGAATTCTCATGTCCATCATCTGGCCGCCATATGAGCAAACTTAAATATATTCATACATATCATCAGCAAGTTAAAATGCTCAATATCTTTATTTTATACCAGTGTTTATAATTATAGAATTTTTATTCACAACTATTAAGAAACAAGGTATGTTTGTAAAACATGTATGCCCCCTATTGGCAACCAATTAGTCATGTGGCCAGGTTACTGTGACCAACTTTTGACCAGGTGACCAAAAAATCAATCAGGGTTATCTACTGGTCATGACTAGTCACTAGGTCATCATGACCGTAAAGGTTGTGTGCAGCAATTTTATGACAAAGTTATCACAAACCTTACCAAATACTAGATGCATTAATTTTATGATTCATGTAGGCCTTCTTAATGAAAGCCAATTTGTAATATTATATTAGACCTTAAAATGTGAATACCAAAAGCAATTCTTAGTTAATACCACCCAAGGCAACTAAAGTTGTTGAGTTATTGGTCGCAAACCTTTTTAACATACAAGGTCAATGTGACTTTGAACTTTGAGCTTTAAAATCAAAAGGGGTTATCTTCTGGCCAAAACCAATGCACCAATGCAGTTTGAGGGCTAACAGCCCGATGGGTTGTCAAGTTATTGATCAGAAACTGTTTTTAACTACAAGGTCAATAATTATGACCTTGACCATTAACCCCTTGACCTCAAAATCAAAAGGGCTCATCTACAAGCCAAGACCAATACACCTATGCAGTTTGAGGGCCAAGGGCCAATGAGTTGTCAAGTTATTGATTGGAAACCATTTTTACCTACAACATCAATGTGACCTTGACCTTTGACTCCTTGACCCCAAAATCATTAGGGGTCTGGCCAAGACCAAGGCACCTATGCGGTTTGATGGCCAAGGCTTTAGTTTTTTAGTTATTGATTGGAAACCGTTTTACCTACAAGGTCAATATGATCTTGACTTTGACTCTGAGGAACTTACATTTATTGAGTGAAATGCACATATTTAAATGAAATAGTAGTTTTGAATACAAGAGTAGTACTTACTTGTGTGGAATGGTCTTTTTAAAGATGTCCAGCATGCAGACACAGGTACTGTCCCATGCCTCCTTTGTGAACTTTGTACCATTAGAAATGACTAGATTCTCTAAGCAGTTTGTACCAGACCTTGCAAGTTGTTCATTATCTGA